GTGTGTTTCTTCGGCGTGCACGAGGCGGTAAAGGAAGAATCATTTTGACAAAAAAGGATTTGTGGAAGGGATTATATTCTGTGGATGAACTGCAGTTTTGCTGTTGTTAAATCTTGAAAAAAGACACGGTGAGAAATTCACCTTTTTTATAAACAGACGTGAGAACGTGATTTGAACAAAAATCAAAGTGAACTGCGGCCTGATTGTTCATTCTGATGAAACCTCGTGAAACGTTTAATAGCAATACTTTTTAGATTGAGATGTCAGAAGGAGATGTTCCCACGTAAAACCTGTGAGTCTTAGTACATAAGCACATCGGGGACTAGCGAGTCTATGCTACGCTAGCTGCCGAAGGTACACGGAATGTAAACATGCTGCGCCTTAATTTCAACGTCTTCTGGCTCGATCGACGGGTTTTAAATGGCGGCTCCTTTTTTACATCGTTATTTTTCAGGCTTTATCTTTGATCCTTGTCTTTTTAATTAAAAGTTTCATCAGTGTCCTCAGTTTGACATCCCGCATACATCCTTCAGGGAAAAAATATAGAATACGAAGGATAAGACACCTGTTTAGGGAATATTAAAACAACCGTTGTTTTAATCGGTGTCTTCATCGGGGATTTCAGTGAACAAGAACATTATGACGCCAGCACATTGCACAAAGACTGTTGGCATCTTGATATGCATCGATCAGTCCTGCACACTGCTTTTCAGGCTATTGATTGGTATTCAGAGAGAGGAGATTTCACAGCATTTTGCCGTTATCGACATTGTACAAATCTTTTGACAGGCGGAGTAGCGCTCGTAACTAGTAAACCGGATGCCCCCTTTGTGTGGAAGGCTGTGGTACTGAGACATCAAGACACTGACTCGCTGAAATAAGATTAACAGTTGGGGAAAATAACATCTTTATTGTAAGGATTTGTTGGAAATACATTATGTCATCCCATCTGGCGATGGCTTTTTAAATCACACGACAAAATGAGAGAATTGAAAAAATTATGAAAGGTATTCAATTTCAATGCAATTCGGTGCAGAGGAAAAGCGGCACGGCGTTTGGCTCCGCAGGGTGTCTCAAGGTGTTTAAGCAGTGATTATCCACGCTGAGCGAGCGTTGTGTTTCTACTGAGCAGAGTCTATTGCTCTATGACGATAACCACGTCAATGAACCGGTTGATTTCTCTCCTGTTATTTACCAGCAACACTCGTTGTCCCCCACAGTTGCACACAAATATATATTTCTTGTTTGATGGATGGATGTTTGATAATGAGTTTTCTAGGTTGAGACAAAACGGGGAAAAGGAACATTAAAAAAATCTCCCATCAAGATTCACCATATGTAACAGATAACATGCCTGCTTTCATTCTCAATATTAAGAAACCTGCCCAATGGGGCTCATTAAGGTTTGGGAATGTAATGTATGTATGTAAATGATGTAGGAAATACGATTCTGTTCATCTTTATGTGTCTAAAAAGCCTTATAGACTATTAAGTCTATATTAATTAGTACATGACATATTTCTCCTTGGTAGGATGTTTTCTGTTGTATATAATCACATTTACGGGATTCATGTATTTACAGAAAACTATAATAAGAGGAAAATTAGATTGGTAAAAGATTCACAATGTCCAAAACTGACAGTGTATCGTCCATTCACAAAGAGGAACACACACTGTCTCTATCTCGTCTGTTTTCTCTGCTGTGATACGTAGACGACCCCTCGGCCCTTTGAGATAGTTAAATACGTGCGGCACTTTGAGTTTTGTCGCTGATCAGAGGCTTCCAGACGGACACAGATGGGCTGAGGATTCTTCCCATGAGGGGCGTCATGCTACAAATCCCTGAGAGGGTCGAAAAAGCTCACAGATCAATACACATTAGCCGCAGCTCGAGTGCTGAACATGGATTAGTTGACATCATGCAACTTTGGGGATTGCCGTCTGTGTGTGTGTGTGTGTGTGTGTGTGTGTGTGTGTGTGTGTGTGTGTGTGTGTGTGTGTGTGTAATGAAGAGTCAAGTGAACACTGCCATTGACCAAGATTAAGCTAATAGCCTTTTTTATGAGGAATAGTGTAGCTGCAATGGCCCCTTCCTCACTTCCCGCCACACTACTTCCTGCTTCCTCGCTCAAATCACACCATCTATGAGCTCACTTACACACTCGTGAAGGTTATCGGCCGCATGCTGCGCTTAGTAGTGTCATACAAGTGTAATAATTTCAATTATTTGTGGCATTAAAATTAGCATCATTATTTATTATCTGCACATGATGACACATGGAGCATTTGTGTTAAAAAGTAGCTCTATATTGGGGGGAATATGTGATAGATGGCAATATTGGACAGACCAGTTATGATATTTTGTCACAAACTGGCTGGAGTTTCCCATTTACTCATCCAACACATACAGAGTAACATTAATATTCAGAGTTTTCTTTCCAGCCATCTAAAGTATGTCCAATATTTACTTTTTTATCTTTTTATTTGGTGTCTTCCCACTCTGGAACAACAGGTTTATTCCAGCTATTTACTGCTAACAGCTGCACAGTGGCTTCAGAAATGCTGATGAGTGCTGTGAGAGGGAACGAAGACACTTTAGTTGTGTCCGGAACACCCAACGCGGCAGAAGACACTAAACAATTCAGAGTTGAGAGAAACTGAGGAGAGGTAATTATCAGTGGGTTCTGCACTGTGAGCAACTTTCTTCTAAAAACACCAAGTAGATCTCTATCAGATGCAAACATGTCCATTCAATCATCTTCAACCTTCTGCAGGCGCTCGCAGAAAAAAAGCAACTACGCGTGTGAAGCGTATTAAGAAACACGTGGGACGTCTTTACCACCTGCTGCATGTTGTTGAGACCAAAAGCCTTCGACGGGCCAAATGTAAGAAGTCCTTGATTCCATTGTCCGTCGTGTAGAACGTTCTGTTATGTCTGCACCAGCTTTTATAGCAGAGTATATATTTTCACCTTCGTTATTTCTGCTTGGAGACGTGCAGAGGAGTAGAAAGCAGCTGTGTGAAATGGCTTTTTAAAATGACATTAAAGCCTAACAGTTATATGATGTTATTATTGAGCTCCTTCTTACCTTGGGGGATACGTTTGGGAGAAACTTAATTGTCTGTATCTGAGGTTTTTTACTGAAAAAAGAAGGCAGATTTGATCCCTGAAGTACATTTTTCAACTTTTCCGGTCTAGGGAATTTGAGAAATAGCTTGAGTTGTAATTTCACACCCATTTATATTTCTTCCTTGTTTCAAAGTAATAAATAATAATGTATAAAAGTATTTCACCCTGCATGGCTGTAGTTTACATAGATCAGTATAAGCACACCAGGGCCTTATCATATTGTGCAGATCAGTATTTGATAAATACAGCTTGTAGAGCTTCAGCTGGGTTGAGACAGTTTCTTTTTTTTTATCATATTCAATCAAAATCAGCTGAAATGGCTGAAACATTTTAACACCTCCGATGCTCACAACTGGCATCTGATGCACGGGTGGAGCTGACGGTGTGAAGCTGAACTACAGCTGTGTGATCACTGATGCCAGTGTGTGTGTGTGTGTGTGTGTGTGTGCGCGAGCTGTGGAGACCTACGGCTGGTTCATGGACACCGTGAGACACACTTCCACTCATCTGCACTCCATTTACCTTTCATTAATTTAATCACGCACATTTTGGGTGTCGAGACCTGATCTGCAGCGTGTGAAAAGTGAGAGAGTGTGAAATGGTCGTGGCCTTTTAGTTTGACCTTTTTCTACCGCAGCAACACAGACGCACAAACACAACGTTCGCCTTTGGGGCGAGATTTTGACAGCGTGACAAAACGCCACAAGTGTCAAAAATGCGACTTAACTTCTGTAGTGTGATGTATTTGCATTTAAAGTGCAATATGCAGAGTGAGAAAACAAGTCTAACTACACAGGATTGGAACGTAAGCAGGTTTGTGCGCTGGCTACTATGTTTTTAAAATTCAAAGCTGGGTTATTTCAAAAATATTTGATGTGTTAACTCTGTTTTTATCTGTGTGTGGTGGGTGAGAAGCAACCGCTCAGAGTCATTCGGGTTCTTTGGGAACTTTTTCTGTCAAACGCACTTTTCTAAAGTCAGGCTGTGCGCGCTGAAAATAACGCATATTGTTGTGAGACAATGAGGGAAACAGAGAGGGAACGGTGTCCCCTCTGGACAGGAATGTGTCCCCTTGCCCACGTTTCACTACTTCAGCCTGGGGCCCCTCCCGGCAAAAAGAAAAAAACATGCCATTCTGAAATACCGGGTGGCGCTTTGTGTGAGGCGTTTATTACATCGCTGTCGCGCGTCTGTCTGTCAGCTCATTCAAGTCTGTCAGACAAACAGACCAGGAGCTGTGGACAGGGTCTCCATGAAGAAACACCCACTGTCCCTCATCTGCAGTGTGGCTAAGTTCACGGTAATTACATTTAATCACAGTTATTACCGCCAAAGGAGCCGCTGAAATGACTCATTTTGGGATCAAATTCTTCTGAGAACAAACCAAATGACATATAATCCACCTGCAAACGTCGGTGATGTCTGCGTCTATTTTTTTTTTTTTCGGCGCGAACGTGTTGCCCCTTAATAAAAAAAAGCGGCCGTGCTGTGGGATCACCCAGGCAGGGGGGGCGTTGTTTGTCTCTTTCTATTCCCCACCGCGCGAACACGATAGACCAGCGCGTGAGAAAAAGCTATTTGTTCAACATAAAAAAGGTGGGGGGGTCTCCCGAGAGAGAGAGGGACCCCCTCTTTCCTCAAAGGGCGGGGGAGAAAAATTTTTGCGGGGGGGTGTGGGTTTTTTTTTCCGGGCGAAAAAAAGGTGTCTCTCCCCCCCCCCAAAAAAAAAACAAAAAAAAGCAAAACAGGGGGGGGTTAGAAATAGCACCTTTGTGTTTTGGGCAATTTGACGGGCGGGGGGCCTCCTTTTTCTTAAATGACTAAATAATGGAAACACCCCCCCCCCCCCTCCCCCCCCCCTCCCCCAATCTTTTATGTTAAGACAAATTCTCACTTCAACCCTGATCTCATTGGATGACCCAAGTAGTGCTGGTGAATAAACGGATTTCACAATGCGTGCCCGGGATGCCAAAGTGACATTGACGGGTTGATGGCTCCCTCTACTCAAGGTTAAGACACAAAACAAAGCAACGTATTCTTATTTAACGGCTGCTTTGTTTCGTTTCCATTACTTTGGCAACGCAAGCCTCAATCCTCAAATAACTCCCCTGCATTATACAGCACTTTTTCTTCTGCCATTTTTGACAGCGTCCTTCTCACCAATTATTGTGCCCTCCAATTTTCCTCTTGAAAGGACAATATTTTTCTCAGTATTGCCAAGCTGAACCCCCCCGACTCCTTATGCCCTCGCCTTTTCCTCTTTAAATCCTTTGTTCTCTTTATTCCAATCTCTCTTCAAACACTCGTTCCGTTTCGCCCAGTCCAAGATGCTTTCCCACTCACTACCCGGCCGTCACCTTTTTTTAACACTTAAAAAGCTTTCCATCATTCTTTCACCTTTCCTAAAGAAGTATGAGCATCTCCTGCTCTCTATCTATTTTCTGTCTTTTTATTCCGCAGCCTGTTTGGATGAGACCATCTCTGTACATGTGGTGATATCTTCCCAGGCTGCAGCATAAAGCAATGCGCAACTTGTATATATAAAAACCAGAAGCTGTACAAACACCACGAGTGAAACAGCTGAGGATGACGGGCAAACAATCCCAGAGGCTGATGATGAAAGGGTCCATAAATGCAATGTTCTCGCAAGCACCGCTTCGGCGCAGACACAGTGTCTGTCAGTATAATGAGAGGACATAAATAACATTTGTGCTTTACATAAATACACATAGGACCCATGCATGTTTTTTCATGAGGATGTGAACCTATAGGGGGATTCTCCCTTTGTGCAACACAAACCTACCGCAAAAATCTTTGATCTTTGACACTTTCAGTCTACACAAATCTGTAACTTATCTGTATCCTTCAACGTTTGGCCAAGAATACTAAAAGCCAGTCACATGTAAGGCAACTTATCATTGGCCAGATTGAGAGTCCACAGACACGCAGACTGTGGCAGTGTTGCAAACATCAGCATGCTCACATGCTTAAAATGCACACTTGCTATCATGCTGATGTTCAACAAATACATAACTACCTCGGTTTAGCAGCTTAGTCTGCTAACATTTGCTAGTTAGTCATTAGAACAACAGTATCGAGAATTGGATGATGTGAAAGTTCAGTTTATAATAGGTAAAGATAAAACCAACGAGTGAAAAAAATTAATTTCAGTTTCAATTTTCATGGCAATTAAATTAAATCAGCATTTCAAATGAAGCTACAAATCTCAACGTCATGGAGGCCACAGAGGAAAAGTAAGAGTAACTTCAGGTCATTAGGGTTCATTGTCTGCAGACCTTTACTGGGTGTAGCAGGAATATCAGAATCAGTCTCCTAAATGACAGCTGCCAGCGTTTTTGCAGCAGTTACTTGGAGTGCACATATATTTGAAAACTGAATTGTCAACAAAGCTATTGAAGATATGTCAATTTCCTTCCTTTGGCAAACCAGGCTCAGTTCCGACTGCGTGTAATCCGCTCTTTATCCGAGAAGGCACTCCAACCACTTCTTCAAATTAACACAAACAATGAGCATCTCTTCCCACGGGTCCTTTGTGACTCATCTAAATCGCTGCCATTCACCGGTTGCGCGCTGTTCGGCGGAGCGGCGCACAACTGCACAGCACTCTGCAGCCACTCTGCAGCCCCGCAAGCAGCGGCTCAGGCATCCGGGAGAAAAGCTCCCTTTGTGAGGGACAACAAGTGGAGCGCCGATGCTCAAAGTCTCCGGCTGCTCCGTCGCGCGAGGAGATTGTGACGAAAGTCTGTCTGTGCAGAATTTAAGTTCGCGAACGGAACATTTATGTTGTTTTAAACACCGAAGGTCAGAAGGAAAAGGAATTAAAGTCACACTTTAAGCGTTGAAACAGAGCATGATATAAAGACTGTAACTACCACGCATAGCCAACGCATACATTCATTCATCCACATACTGCAGCTTGCGGTGTAATCGCTTAGTTTGGTGACTGGAAATGAGTTTGTTTCTCCACCGTCCTCATTCTGTTTTTGTGTTTCTGTCCGTGGACACGCAGTGGCAAGGGGAGACGCAGGAGTTCTGTCCCGGTGCCAAAGTGGTGCTGGTCGGCTGCAAGTTGGACCTGCGGACGGACCTCAACGTCATGAGAGAGCTTTCCAAACACAGACTCATTCCTTGCACCCACGAACAGGTGAGCCGGGCAGAGAAAACACCTGTTAGCACCAAACGGTTGTTCCTGCAACCACATCCTGATAATGCAAACCTAATTTTGCACGTGTGAAGGAATGAACGGTATTGATTGAATTCATTTAACATTATAATAATTGGAACATCCATTGAATATGGTTTTAAATAAACAGTCCTTTCTTATTTTCCGCTGTAGTGATTTTAATTTGCCTACAGAAACACTGCTTAAATTGATCCATGTCATCCATTGCTTTGCTCTCCGGTGCCCAAACGTGTAAACAAAGCCTCTGGAAAAAAATGAATTGGGACAATGGCATTTGTTTCACATCATAACTTCCACAAATATGTAAACACTAGGAGAATAAAAGACGGAGGAATGAGCGGCGCTCAACAAACAGCCGGACGTGCGATGCTACGATTGTTTTGTTTTTGCCTTGGAGCGATGAACAGCGGCGCGGCGCGCAGGAATGTCAACAGCCTCTTTCGTGATGTGAATTCCCACTTCCTGGCCGCCTTTTGTCAACATATTAATATTCACTCACACCTCCGACAAAAGGAGTCGGTGAACGCCCCTCGTTTTCAGTAATGGCGTCGAGAAAGAGAAAGAGAAAACCCTTTCTTTGTTGCCCATTCAATCCGACCGAGGTCATCTCTGTGAGGAGACCTTTACCTCGTTTGGTTGGATGTATGCAGCTTTCCAGTGCAAAAAAAAATACATGGAATTCTACACTAACTTAATTAATTAATAAATTGGCCCCATTCAAACGGACGTGACCCCCAGCGGAGTGCATTCAATGCCACAGTGGAGCTCTTAGTGAATCCTGCTGTAATTGGCTTGTGGGAGTCAAAAGAGAAACCTGAAGTGTTGGAATGTTTCTGTTAATGCAAAAATAATGCAGCCGCGCTGGAAGTAGAGTTCAAGTCTTTAATGTTTTTTTTTTTCCGCGGAGGAGAAATATTATTTCCATATCGGACTGCTTGATCTTCCTTCCATACGGAAACACCTCCGAAAACCGATGGGCTGAGCGCCCACGCCGATCACGCGGCGCCGATGTTCCACTGCCAAAGAAGTCGAATAAAGCTGAGCTTTGACACTCGAGTGTAACAGCTGCACCGTGAATATTTCACAGCTGCCAGGAGGATCTTTGCTGCTTTGTGCGTTCCCCCGCACAGCGATCACGCTTCTGAGAGGGTCAGGCTTTCATTGAGGGCCGAGTGTTTACTGTACACGGCGGTCTCGTATCCACAACGGGGAGGATCATCCCAAGCGCACGCAACAAACGGCGAGAAATGGGGACGCGCTCGTAGTTCGGTGAATAGGTTTGATTCAATTACAGAAGGCTTCCAACAGCGCGCCAGAGGATCGACGGGGTTCAAGGGCTTTTAGAATGTGGGAAAGCATCAATTCCACCGCATGACCCCTCACACACACACACACACACGCACACACTTCTGTTTGTCGTACAAGCACTCAGTAGCTCTTAAGGTGACTCAACCTTTTTTTTTTACACTACAAACAAGCACAAACTGGAGCACACGGCTGGATAAATGTTGGAATTTGAACACAAATCTTTAATTTTCCAAATGTGAAACCGTTTTTTTTATACACATATTAATAATTTTGGGTAAGTTTCAATATTATAAGTCGGTGACAAAGCCCAGACTGCCTGAAAAATGCGTCCGAACGTGCGACTTCCCCGTTTACAGACCAATAATCTGTCATTTCTGGGGGGGTGTTTTGTTTTTAGGGGACTACTTTGGCGAGGCAGATGGGAGCCGTGGCCTACGCGGAGTGCACCTCAAAGTATTCAGAGAACAGCGTCCGCGACGTTTTCCACGTCACCACCCTGGCGTCCGTGTCCCGCGTCCACCGGCCCCCGCTCAAGCGCTGCGGCTCCCGCCGGGGGCTCAAGCGGGTCTCCCAGCAGCCGGCCCGGACCGCTGAGATTCACGAGCACCCGCCCGCCGCCAGGAAGGACCGGGCCAAAAGCTGCGTGCTGATGTAGCGCCCGGGTTGGAAAGCGGGGCGCCGCTCTGCACGTGGACTTCATTTTATTGGTGAATCCCGGTCAGACATTTGCACTGCGTGAAGGACGACGTGATGAAAACGTGGGAAGAACCGACGTGATCTCGTGCGCGAGTTCTTTGACCGAGTTGTTTGTCCGTCTTAAGCAAAACTCTCCTTGTTATTTTATTTTCTCTTCCGTGTGGCTTTGTTGTTATCGGGGAAGGGAGGTCATTAAGGACGGCGGGAGCTCATTACTCTCTGACGCTTTTACTGTAAGACGTGGACAAAGATTGTGTCGTGGACACAAACAAGACTGGTCAGGAAATTAAAAAAAGAAATATCTGAGATTTTTTTTTAATTAACCGGCAGGAAGAACAGTGCTAGGCTTTGACTTGTGTTGTGTTGTTTCCTGTTTTGAAATGCTGTTCTGTCTTAAATGTTAAATTAAACGAAGCACAATACAATAGACACGACGTGTTCTCAGTTATTATTAAATGCCGGGCAATGATCTGCTGTTCCACTTTGAATAACACACAAAAAGACTGGTGGGCGGAGGGGACACACGTTTTTTCTTTCTTTTCTTTAACCACAAGTGCTTTTATTATTGAAAGTGAATAATCGCTCACCACATAAGACTGAAGTGTTGTGAAATTAAAATTCTCTCTAATAATCCACACCGGGAAGGGAAAGTAAGGGAGATGTTTCAAGAGTGTTGTACACGTGATAATGAAATAAAAAGAAAATGCTGTTGGCATCTTTAATATGGAACTTCTTGGTGTAGAATTTTACCTTATTAAATTCATGCTATTAGTAAACTCGCTACAGCTAAAGTACCACTCAGGCTGTTACAATCCATCCTTTTGGAGACCTTGATTTCTTCAGAAAATCGTGAAAAAACCTGAAAATGTCCCCGTCACACTTCTAATGAACACAGCTGTACTGTGCAATATTTCACGAGCCTGGAAGTCTGACCTTTAGCAGCGTACTCGTTTCCATTTGTTTCCCCCCCCTGGTGGGACGAGCCCCGCACCATCTCGCAGCTAACTTGGGGGAAGCACACCTGCGACATTTCACAGCATCGCCGCCGCGCCCCCACGCAGGGGGCGCGGGGGAGGGGAGGGGGGGGTCGCGCCCTGCGCCCGAGGCCGGACCAGTTTGGGCCGCTGGTCGAGGGGGGGGGGGGGGGGGGAGGAGCCCGCAGGCCGGAGTGACCTCAGCCTGAGGCGTTGGTGGGAGAAGATGTTTGTTGATGCCGCGGAGAGAGTCGAAATGTCACTTTGCTGTCCTCTCTCTAGGTTTGTGGAAAATGCACTTCGACTGACCCAGAAGGCTTAATACACAAGACCGCAAAGAGAAAAAGACCCTCGGACTCCCACGTGGACGACGCTCGCATGTATTTCCCATTTATTCCCATTGTCAAAGATCTAAAACAACCTGCGTTTTTACATTTAATCTTTAACTGGAAAGGTCACGCTTGGCTGTGAAGTACAGAACACAGCCAAGCGTGTTCAAAGCCAGACGCCCGTACTATGAGTTAAAGAACCAGGCATAAGCCCTTTGTAAACCTGAAGTGTGAAGGAAGGAAATTAGTAAAAGGGTTTAAAGTGAGACTACAATTAAGAAAGCGAGCGGCCTGTAGGTATGCACAATGATTTGTGATTGAGAGGTAATGTTGTTGGTTAAGGGCATCGACCAGGAAGTAAGGACAATGGTTTGGGCTGCATGAGCTACATAAGTTAGAGCCCTGTGTATTCATGGTTACCAGTGGATGAACACCAGTCACTTTGACCTTTCCACCCCCATCACAGTTCACAGTACAGAACTACATAAAAAGCCTGCCTGTATGTTTTGATTTAGCTGAAGTCAGCTTGCAAAGAGATGCCTCAATCGGGATGTAAGGAGGGGAAAATATAATTCCCAAAGTGAGTTGAGTTTCATCAGAGCCGAAAAGTACTTGAAAGGAAAAGTACTTGAAAACATGGCTTTTAAGAAAAAGAATATATAGAGCACAATTAAGTGGTTTATGTATATCAAAGAGGGATACATCAGATAAGTAATGAATACCGAAGAATGTTACTTTTAAAGTGATGTAGGCTGATACAAAAATGATGTAACAGTCTATACGCACCTTGTTTTTTTGTAACTTGTGGATGGAATTTGCAGATTCAACTTTAAAATGAAGGCGCTTGAATTCCTGCTGTAATGCAACCACATCCTCACAGCGCCTTCACACGAAATGAAAGTCCAACAACAACTTTCATTGGGATTCCCCTGCGAGACGAGCCAGCCACATGTAAACGATGAGGAGTCACTGTGAGAAGTTCAACAACGGTGATGTAAAATTCATCATGTTTTTTTTTTTTTCTGCAAAGGAAGAAAGTTTATTTCTGCACTTTGGAGCAAGACAGGAATCTATTTCTATCTTGCGTTAATATTATATGCACCATTATCGTGATATAAAGTTTTTGGCGGGGGGCGTTTTTCATTTTAATTCCACCATAAAGAAGCACTGATCAGTGACCAGCGCGGCACAGCCCTCATGCATCTTTAATGCCTTTCCTGCTTGCACAGTTTAAGTTGCCATAAAACTGCATTTTATGCTCCGAGGGTGTCAGACGGCCCGACAGCACGGCTCTATCCGTTCAGTTTTATTCAAATTCCCACTTTTAACATCGCAAAGGCGAAAAAGGGAATTAGCTGAAATCAGGCTGGCGACGAGCGTCCGCCATCCAATACCGGCGACACAACAGCAACGGCGGGACAATGGTTGCCGTGTCAGTGGCAGAGAGCGAGGCATTAAAAATGCAGGACCCATTTAAACGGTATGTAAAATTGAGCAGATTAAAAATATATGTGTGTCCTGGGTCGCCGGGAGCCGAGGCTTCTCCTTCTTGTTCTCTCTGTGCGGCGGTGGAGGCGGCGAGACGAGTGACAGCATGAATAAAAGACAAAATGCAGCTGTACGCACAGCAGGGGATGGATGTACGTGGATGTTTCTGAAGTGGGAGAAAACAAAGTCTCATACCGAAGAAAAAAAAAAAGGGAAATGTAAATATATAAATACGTTGTGTTTCTTATCACAGGGGGACATTTTTGGAGGCACTATGGACTCGTTTGCCTGCTCCCGAGGACTCTGCTGAAGAGACACTTGTTGACAGTGTTTGGTTTGCAGCCAAAACACTGGGAGACAACCAGAAGTGTGAGATCAGCCGGGGAAATCATGAATGAGTGCACTCAGTTTACATAGAGGCTTGACTACAAAAGTGTAATCGTTTTTGCTGTTGAAATAAATACCCACAATTCTCAATTTAATAAAAAATGGGGTCGGTTTCCAGCATGCCGTGCAATGATGACCAACGTCATGGAAAATCACAAACGAGAAATCTTTATTGGTAACAAACAATTATCTCCATTATCAATAAATATGATTATTGCTCCATTGTTAGTGTTACCTAATCCTTTGACCTCCAAAAAGACAATGATGACTCCACCAATCCAAATTCACCATCCCTGAGAAATTACATAAATATTTTACTGACTCAATTTGAATAACCCTGTAAATGACAAAATATATCCGTCATCAAATGCGCCTTAAAAATGCCGAATGACAAAAATGGGACTTTGTCAACCAACCCGCTATTTTCAGTAAGCAGCCAAGAATAAACGAAATCTTGATTTCTTGTCAGCCTGAACGCACAACGCGCACAAAAGCCCCGGGCACACGGCAACACTGTTGCGTCACGGAGAAATAAAAAACAGGGACAATCACTCTGCTCATTCTGAATTTCGCTGGGGGAGGAAATTACTGCCCTCAGGGGTCTGAAGCAAAGGCCAGTGCACTCGTACACGTTTGCACCCACATGCACAGATGTGAAGGTTTGCAAACACCCGTGTTGAAACATTCCAGAAGGTGGACATCTTTGCTCCTTCTGTACCTTTTGTTAGTGAATTTTCTTGGTTACTAAGTGACGGATTGCTTTCAACTTTGCTATAAATATATACCGTTGCGATACCATACGTCCCTTTGACTTTGCGTGTTGTGCAACCTTCAGGTCAAAGTTCAACAACAATCGGACTGTCAACACTTTGGTTTGTTACCGAATACCTGCAAAACTATAATCAACCCTGCAGATCATCCCCGATCTACTAGCATCACCGGGGCCTAATGGATCTACAACAGTGGTTAGTCTTCTTCTAATTGTACAGGTCTGGAATAAAGGTATTACATAATAAAGGAATATAATAGTGGGATAAAGAGGTATTGTTCTGTGACCAACTGATGTCTTAGTCATGGTGACTGCCAGACACCGGTTTGGTGTTTTGTCATTGGACAGCTGATTCAGGGTCGACTGTCCACTAACCCATCGTGTCTTTATTAAAGCAACAATACCCTCCGAGGCTAAAACCATTCCGCCGATTGTACGGTTAAAGAAAGGAGACAGTGGCGCGTTGTGAGCCCGGAGTCGGTGCCATGCTGTAACCTCCGGCTCCCATTCAGGGCGCCTGAGAGGAATGTGCCACTGAAAAATCAGCTGACTGTGGAGGAAAGCGGCACCCCGGCACCGCACATCTGGCATTTAAACGTCCCCGGAGCCGACGTGCTGACGTTACCGTTTTGTGTGGCCGCTTTCTCTATTTTAAGCCACCCGGTTTTTGATTTCTGTCCTAGTTTGTGACACAAATTGCAGAGAGGGGTGTCGATTGTTTGGCATGGATTCAACATGCTGCGTGCGATCAGATGAAAACAATCTGTTCTTAAACAAGACGGTCTTACATTCTCTAAATATTCTCTGTTGATCTGTCTGGAGGTCTGACATTTTAATTGTGTACCGTTCTTCAGCACGAGTACCTGACACTACCAACACTAACAGAAAAAACACGGCTTATAATCACCACTCAGGCCCTCAGCCCAACATCTATAAGGAGTTAATATAGAGGGAAGTCATTCAAGTTGACTCATATCTTTGAGTCATAATTGTTCCAGGCTCATTCTGCGAGAAATGTGTTTTTATGCAATATCTCCACCCGTCAAAAACCTTTTCCACATTGTTTCAGTGGTTATGGTTTTTGCAGATATCAATTCCAAACATTACATCTGTGAGTTCTAGATGTAGAAATGCGTTTTTCCACATGCAAAGATACGTGTTCTACATATTGTAAGTGATCTTGTTTGTCGAGAACGAAAGTTCTGAATGAACAGTGACATTTACAGCATTTGGTAAGGGAAACCACATCTACACACATGTGGGAACACACAGAACTTAAATACCAGTCCAGCTTGAGACTGAATTCTCACCCCCCGGATATTGAACCTCCAATAAAATATAAATATATAAAAATATAAAAGATTTTGTCAGTGAAATCAAAGAACGCAATAGCATGAGGTGACAGTTGGCCCACCGCCCACCGCTCGATATAGTTGAATGAATAGTTCCAAGATGATGCGGACACATTTGTTTTTGTCACATTTTATTGACCAAATGACTAATCAGCATACTGCGTAAATAATCAGCGATAATGAAAATACTCTGGGCTGGTTGCCCTTCAGAACCACCTATTTCATCCAGAAATAAGGATTTTTAACGTGTTCTAACAAAGTCAAATGATGTCGACTACACCTTTTGTCACCGACCTTGCAGGCAAGAAGGACCGCGCACAACGAGCAGGAGAGCGCGCTTTATTGTGCGCTCGCACGCGGCTCACTGCTGCAGGTCTCCCCCCTCTAAACTCTCCCCTCAACAATGGCTGTTCAATAATTAAAGAAAAAAACGTGCGCAGGATTTGTTGCTGGGTTCAAGCCATGTTCAGGAAGAATGCAGAAAGCTGGAATACTCCGCTGAGCCATCAGCGGAAACACAAAAGAACCGGGAGGACAAGTACTAAATACTGCGAACGATTCTTTCTGTAACCCAAAGGACGTCCACGTAGTGGAAGGGTGCTGTACTCTGAGTTTAGCATTTCAATGCCATTCATTTTTGACTGTATAAGGTAAAATATCTGAAAGACTGTGGTCCCCATAACAGAATATTGGTCAATTAACAATAGAGCTGTTTAGATTTGCATCATTGGCCACGTTACGTTTTAGTAATATGTTGTTATTTATATCTTCTGTGTGATAAATCATAGAACAAGAACAAAAAGACTGCAATTTTGGTTCATTAAACTTTATATACATCATGTCAAGCAAACACTATACATAGAGATTAGTAAAGAAAGCCGATGGACGAGAGATTAGATGCAGCGTTGGACATTAAGAGGCAGAGGTTGTAACAGGCACACCGGCTGGAGGTGCTGTGTACTGGTCGTAGTTTTGGAGGGTGTAGGTTGCCACGGTATCCAACAGCCAACCACGTGTCACCACTGTAGCGTTTCCAGGGGCACCTGATAAGCAGACGGGTTTTCAGGTAAGACTACAAAATTAACATGTGCACACATCTCTTTATTTTGGTCAATTTCATTTGCATAAGCAAAGATTTAAATGAAAATCTTTAGCGGGCTGCATTTCAGTATCCCTGAGAAAATCCTGACATCTCTAGTCTACTTTATTGTAGACATGCTAGAAAAAGAAGCATCATCTTCACCCGTCAAACATGGACCTGGAGCGCGTGCACGCGCGTGTATTCCCACATTTCCGCTACATCAGAGGAGCGTGTGTGATTTCAATCAATGGTGGAGAAGAGGGGGAAGGGGCGGGGCTACTTGATTACCTGGGCTTTGACTGCTAGAGGACGTGGAAGAGGAAAAGCTGCATTAAATATGCAGCAGTGCAAATTAGAACTCCAGGGAGGAAGCGGACTCAGAGGCCCTCTCTTTTGCAAACCGTCACCTCGCCTCGTGCCACCGCGCCGTCTCTCCGTTGCGACATTTCCCTCAGCGCCGACCTGACATTTTCTCTGCGGCCTAACTCGCAGCCCGTCACTCCCCCCTCACGCGTCCACCATTCCTCTCCGTTGTGTCCCCCTCCAACTGGCCGCCCGCACAGCCACAAAATGCACTCAGACCCCCGACGGAACGTCTCTGTCTATCCGTCAGTGTTTTGAACCAGTCACTAAAATCAAAAACTAAATGTTCATTTCCCTTGTGCAACAAACTTAAGAAAATAAATAAATAAATAAATAAATTAAAAAAAAGGGTGAAAAAACTTTGAGGGGAACCAGAAAATGAAATAAGTTACAATGTGGTTCTTGAGAGTAAATTGAGTTACATCGGTTCAGAAAAAATGAATCCTATTAAGTTTAGCCTGGAGCAACACCTCTGATTAGCTTCACCTTTCCCCAAAAGGTGTGTGAGAGAGAGAGAGAGAGAGAGAGAGAGAGAGAGAGATTGACTACTATATTATGTGTGTTATAATGGCAGAAAATGATGCAGTAAAAATGAAAATGTAATTTTGGACTCACTGCTGTGTGACTCTGATCCAGACTGTACGATGACAAGCTGATGGGAGATCTGCAATAACAAAAGACAAAACGAATGATTCCTAATATAAAATTAGAACAAATAGAACATACTTCTTTAGAGGCACACGCATTGGAACTAAATGTTATTTTCACACCTGCCTGTTGGATTACGTATCAGCATCGTGTTATATCTTGGCTAAAAGGATTATCGTTATAGGATGACGCGATTTCAGCAGTTTTGTTATAAATTATCTAAAACTTGAATGAATCATGAAGAATTTATAAACACATTTGAAATTGAACCCAGCAGGCAAATAACCAACTTCATGGAGGCTGCAGCTTTGTGGGGGAAATAACTGTCCTCCAGCATGCACTCTACTGCCAGAAGATACTCAAATAATGTAAATAAATACAAAATGTTACCGATCAGATGCGTTTCACATTTCTTTGAAATCTTACCTTGTTACCGTCGAGGAGAATTGGATCTCTGACTACAGCTGCTCCACAGAGCTCCACCATCGACTCCATTTCATCTTAATAAACACAACAACAAAGTTTTACACCTTCAATGTTTGGCCACGCCATCTTCAAACCAGAGAAGATGCAGAGCGATTTTTCCTCTCATTGGAGGGATGGAATCACAGATCAATAACTATGTCTCCACTTGAATCAATAACGGTCTCTGTTAACACTCATTCACTTTGTATAGAAAATAATTGATTATATATTTCAACATACATCTGTTGTCAAACTGAAAGAGGAACAGCTTCCAGGGATTCATTAAATATTTCAAAGCTTAATTTATGATGGTGATGATGATGGAGCCGTCAAATCAACATTTACAATGACCCCTGAACAAACTCAAAAAGTTAAAAAAAATATTTAAAAAACGTCCCACACAATATCTGCTCCTGTTTGGGCAATTTGAGAAAGATGATTAAAATAAGAAAGTCAATTCACTTAATCTGAACCAGAACAGCTTCCTCTGCTCATTCAACATACACAAACACGAGCGATTCAATAATGGATGAAGAAAACAAACTCCATCCCCACGTCTGTGCCGTGTAAAAGGAAGTCTTTAAAACTCCACACGGCAGCCAGCAGATGTCGGGCCATTAGCGAAGCTTCATCGATTGAGCAGGAGGACGCCGCAGAAGCACTTTAAAAAGAGCCCCGTGGAAGGAGGAGGACACCAAGGAATGCTGCTGTGCCCCAGCGAGGCCTTCGGCGATGATCTATCTGTGCATCTATTCACGTTGGAAGGGTGAAGCATTAAGTGCATTGCACGAAGAAGGAGGGGGGGGACTTTAGTACGGACGTCAAAGCGACTGCTGTGTAATACGAGGACACCAGAAAACGGCTCAAAGTGGTTACTGAATACACCCACGCTCCGGAAGCACTCGTCATTGTTCTCGCTAGATGACAGCCGGGGTTAAAAAACGGCCAGTCAGTCAAAAACCTACGTGAGCCAATGGAAGCTTTATTTATTTTCTTATGGTTATTTCTTTCCCCGTCTCTCTATCAGCGTCCCGCAGGACACACATGCATCAATAAAACGGAACAAGTGGAGTCGAGCAAAGCGATTCCTGATGGAGAAAAAACGGAACAGTGCAAACAGCATGATGGCAGCTGAACAAAAGGCAACAATTACATGAAAAGAAACCCAGCTTTTGAAGTTCATGATGTAAATTAACTCCTTATCAAAGTGCTACAATTCATGAGTGCTGTTTCTTAGACAAAATGGGCAAGATGGGGACAATAAATACAATTCATTAGAGATGTATATAAAGTGTATGACAAATATTGCACTATATAATATATATATATGACTTTATATAACTCGATTGAAAAATATGAATCTCAATTACATGCATTATATGGTATAAAATAGCAACCCATAACACATCATCAGCTCAACTGTGGCCGATGGGATTTACCTGTCGTCATGTCTGTAAAAGGCCCTTGGAAGCAGATCTTGTAGCCTTTCATGAGCAACTGCAGAGGAGGAGAAGAAGAAGAAGAAGAAAATAAATGTAGGATCAAACCTGAGAGATGTTTGGAAAAAACATTATCGGCTTCCCTCTTTAATACTGTAAATTCAGGGATAATTTGAGCAGAAGAGAGTGAACAGAGCCACCTTCACCAAGGTAATGTCACGCTTTAAGCATAAAAAGAACAACGGCCCGACCAACACCAGGAGCACAGAGTTTTATTGCATTCGGGGTCACTAAACCTGAAATGGGAAAATGGGAAATTGCTTCCTTGAACCATTGTAGCTCTGGAAAGGAAATTTGCGACTCATATGCCACCCTCATATAAACGTCCAAGGTGCTGCAGAGAGAAATACTAATTTCTCACACCTCCTTGTTCATCCACCAAAAATCATTAGCCCAAAGGGCTTGGGCAGATGGAACAGACTTTCTATTACAGATTTTTAATTTAGACAACACCCGGCGTCCTTCGGGAGGTATTAGCGTGTGTGATGGGATAACTTCGAAACCCTACAGATGCACACACACACATACACACATATTTCTAAACATATGCACTCGGGAGTTTCTGTGGCTGATTTCCTGCACATCGACATTCTGGCGACTGACTCTGGCACCTCATTTCACCCGGTTCCTCTGCAGGCGACAGACAGCGAGCGCGGACGGGACAATCAGTCGGAGCCACTGAAATGACGAGCTAAATCAATTAGATATAAGTTCTTCAAAAGGCAGCATTATGGCCAACAGGACATCGAGCCATTTCCAATCCACCCGCCCCCCCCCCCTCGGTGTCAACTGAACCGGACCTGCCGGCCGGACACCAAGAGGGAAATTACCACGAGCTTTTCCAACAAAGCCGGGGCGAAGAGGCTGCTGCAACAGGAGGAAACGGGTTCAAGTGCTGTGGGTTTTTAGAATTTCCTCATGAAATCGGACTGCTCGTTGAGGTTGGACTACAAGGATGTTGGTTCTTTTTTTCCTCTTTTTGAACCAGGATTTAAAACCAGTCCTTAGTTTCAGGTGTTGAGCGATCTCTATCTTTATTTAATGCTGGATGGGGATTATGTCATTATGATAAAGGGACTTGCAGTTGCAGTTTTGTGGTAAAACCACATTATCTCTTAAGAGAGCAAAATGATATTACTGCTAACGAATTAAAAACATTCGATAACTTTTTGTTAGAATGGTTATTTGTGTGTAAACACAGCTGCAGGTGAAAGGAACGAGTCAAAGTGAACACAACACGTCCAGTTTGTGAGGTACTCACGTTATTGTCCTCCCTGGTACGAGCTCTCATGGGGCCGTGGTGGTCGGGTCCATTCACCACGTCTCCTCTCACCTCAAAGGCGCTCTGTTTAAAATCAAACCCAAATGACCTCAGTCCCACTGGTACAAAGCCTTTCCTGTTGTTTTTGTGAAGCAGCTATTCTCTCATCTCATAAAAGTACTGATTGCAAGCAGACAGACAGCTAAAATAATTAGATTTATTTAAAAAGGGTCAAATACAGATCGAAGAGTACACCTAACATCCATCACTTTGACAGAGTTCCTATTGTAATTGTGTGGAGTCCATCTCTGCGTCCACTACATGATGCACACAAATGCTTACAAAGCGTCCCGGATGACGAAGAAATGGCTTTAAATGAATGGAGATGCTGCGAAAGTTTGGCAAAGGATTATATTTTGCACAGCACAGACACAGATTAAGGGATTACTAACGCAAGTGGATGACAAATAATCTATGAGGTATCGCGACGAACCACATGGAGCGATTCATCACGCTGCCGTAATTCGACATCAAGGCACGCGGAGATAACAGGACGCCAAGCGGTGCACAAACGGGAAGACGCATGCAGACGAACAAACCTCATCTAAGAGCTGCTTTTGTCTGAAGCACTCTGAAATCCCTGTGGAGAGGAAGAAGACAGAAAAGTTTGGGCTTGTTTTTTTTCGTGTCAGGGACACAAAGAGTATTCCGGTGTCTACTGTATAATGCAACGCTCCTGTAGTCCCGCGTCATGCGGTTTTTGTATTTGCCGTGATTGTTGTAAACACGGGCGGTGATCTCGAGCCGCATCGGGAACTTACACTGGGAGCCCACCACCCACTTCCTGCCCGCGATGCCGAGGAAGTACTTGAGCGTGCGCTCGCATACCAGGTGTTCATCTGGCAGAGAGGAGAGAAGCGACCGAAATGTCAATCGAGCACACGTCCAAAAACACCTTCATTTGCAAAGTGCTGTGCTGTCTTCAAGACAACACTGAAAGCGTCAATGTGATGCAAAATATGGTGGAATAAAACACCTGAAATGCTATAACTTTTTCACACTTGTGTTACCTGTAACTACTCATAGTAATAACTAGTAATAACTGAACAAACAGCTCTTTCAAACTCTTTCAGGATTGGGTTCACTCCAAGAGGGAATATCTTCACAGAGACAGAACGCGGATGGTCTGCAGGGTCAGGGGTTATTCTTCGTCCGGTGATGTATGCTGATAATCAATCGATTTGCATTTCATGCAGAAGTTAAGTGCTTTAACCGCGAAGCTCAAAAGCTGCAGCGTTCCCACTTTTTGGTTACCCGGGAAACAGCTGCCATCGAAAGAAGGCTTTCTTAAACACGGGCGGTTAATGTGGTGCTTTGGAGACAGCGAGCTCTGGAATTAAAAATAATCTATCAGAGAGGGTAATTAGCAACGAACGGATGAATGGAGGACAGGGTGCGTGGGTGAGGGAGAAACAGAGAGCTTATCTAGGAGCGCTTAAGACGACGCACAAAAAGCAGCGGTAACAACGTGACAAGAGGAAGACGGACCCGTGAAATGTTCCTGCTCAGGAAAATATTGAGAAACACGACCTGGAAAGAAGGTGAAGTGGATTTTCCAACAGCGGCTTGAATTGCTCGCGTGTGTATGCAGTTGAGTGGATTTATTAAAAATAAAAAAAGGAACAATGTCGTCCCATTGGTCCCTTTCACAGATGCAGATTATCACTGAAATATTTATCAACGCTTCCCGCACAGGGTCCTGTGTGAATGAGCAGCGATCGATATTCTGGGATGCATTAGTGCAGTGTGAATAGTGCCGACATAGTTCCCACTGTCTCACCTGTGTGCATTATGATATGGGTCACCTCCGGCGTTACCGTAGAAACCACACGGGCGCCGACACGTTTGGCAAACCTTTTGACCATCGTCTGGGGACGAAGGCACGTGAGGGGTTAGAGCACCCAGCTACGGAGAGGAACTTTTATTGAGGGGAAGCGCAGAATCGGCACCTGTTCGCTTTGGTCCAATCCGGACGACACCAGCAGCATCTTGGTTCGTCTCCCGTCTCCCGGAGGAGTATTATTTTCTTTGTTTTCTTGACCATCTGTAGGTGAAGCGTCTTTCTTTGATGTTTTTGAAGCTGAGCTGGAACGGAGTGCCTTGGAGCCCGCGCTGCCGTTTAGGCCCGGCCCTGTGGGTCTGGACCTCTGGGCGGCTGACCACACAGAGAGACACACACACACACACACAAACATTTAAAAAAGAAACGGTTGTTGGGCAGCAGTCACACCAATCAGACCTCAAATCGGTCGCAGCGAGCGGAACCGTCATCGACCACACGGACAAATCACAAGAACTCTGCTGAACTCAGTCCAAACCTTGGAGTACTGAAACATTGCTTTGTGAAGCAATGTGAGGCAAAACGAAACTATTAAAAACAATGTTTCCGTTTTCTGCTCTTGACATTAATCGAAACCTCCGTGGAATAACTGGAGCGAGTTTCCAGTGTGGCACTATGTGACTTTCCTCCCCGTAGCCTCACCCGTCTCTGCTGCGCCGCCGCGCTCCGACGCTCTTCTGCCGCGCTCTCGCTCGGCTTCGGGAGCAGCTTCTCTGCGGAGGAGAAACGGGATGGTCACCATCAGGGCAGAACAAAGGTTTTTTTGTTGTATATTTAGCTGCATTTGAAAGGCTGACGCAGGATACAGTGTTTTGGGACAGAAACACACTTTATATTTAAAATAAAACAAACACTACGTGGTTGAAATGCCGCTGCAGGTTGTTTGCGTTCTGTTGTCGCCTGCTTTTAGGGCAGAGAAAGTAAAAAAAAAAAAAAGTAAATATGTCTGCAAATCCCTTTGCAGTCAATGATTGTCTAAAGCCTTCGATCCAAAAACTGTGAACAAATACACTTGACTGAAACCATAATGACGGGTTGCTTCTGTCAGCAGCCGTTCTGCCTCCAGGCCTTTGTTCAGCGAGTGAAACACGCGTGCACTTTGATTCATTTCAAGTGGCTGACGAAGCCGATCAATAACAACACACGGCTCGGCGGTGAAATAGAAACAAAAAAAAAGACCTCGAGGTAAGGGTTGTTATTAGAGAAGTGCTCATCTGCAGTCTCCTCGACATGACGTCTGGGATTAACAATTATTCCCCTCAATTAGTTCGCGTGACTCGTTCAAACCAAAGTGCAACCGCTTGGAGTGTGATGTCACGTGGAGCGCGTTTACCGCGTGTACTCTACAGCCGCGGACAGACCTGCCGAGATTAAACCGCTGCACCGTCCTAAAATAAACGGATTGTGTTCCCTAAAGCTGTGGCCATATCAATTTATAAACATAAAAAGAATGCTGGATTAGATTAAAAACAACACTGTCCTCACACTTTCTGCACTGTGCAAGTTTATGACGTGGAAAGATGTGAATGTAAGATCACATATCGGTACGGGCAGAAACTCAATGACTGGTCATTTGTTTAACTCACACTAACAAAGTTTGGGTGGTTCCCTTCCTCCGTTTTCCTTTGGTTCGCCCTTTGATTTAGAACTCGCACGGCTACGGCCCTCCGTGTTTTCATCCGCGGCCCTTCTCCCCCCTCCCTCCCTCGCCTGGAGGACGGCACTTGGAACCCTGCGAGGCGAGCGGCTGGTAGGGGAGCAGTCGAGCAGCAGAGATAAACGACTGTGGCAGCAGAAGTTTCCCTCTAAGTGCTCTAAATGACATATAAGTTGCAGTCAGTAATGACTTTTTTTTATTCTCCACAGCATAAACGGATTCTGGGTTCATTAGCGAGATTATCCGCCTGTCCTCCTGAGATGCATCACCCTCTGAGAACCAGACTACCAACACGTGCGCACACGCACGCACACTCTCCTTCAGTCACAGATTGAAAGACGCCACTTGCCCCAGTTATTGTTCTGCCTAATGCGGCTGCATTGAAATATGACGCAATTTAAAAAGTATTAACAATACAATCCTCTGAGGAGAGAAATACGACACACCGGTGCAGATTATATTTAATTAGAGTTATTATCATCAAAGCGTGTCTCGTCTTTAAGGATTTTCTCTGCTGATCACTTAACTGACTTGGTCACCAAAAACGAACTGGCAGCAGCTTCAAATATGACAAACCGATACGAGGAAGAAGTCTGTTATGGGGATCTCAAAATATTGGTTTCCAATTTACTTTTGTAGACATTCATAATGACAAAAAAATCCCCAAATATCATTTTCAAAGAAACTATATTATTAGACGGCTGAATACAGAGAATTGCCAACGTCTGTAAACATAGAGCCAATTAGCACGTTGCTTCTAACGTTTAGCTTCCTGAGAATGATGAAGCCGTTAGGTCATCAGATCAGAGCCAATTCTTGATGTTTGAAAGAGAATACGGGAGGATTTACTTGTAGAGAGAAAAGGCAATGAAGCAGAACTAAAACACACATTTATTATTCATTGCTTTGGCACTTATTTTTCAATAATAACAATGTTGTGTGTTGATGTTTAGTGTTATTTACAGTAGAAGAGTATTCAAAGCCAAACTAATGTACTATTGAAAATACATTTCTAATTTACTGTGATAAACGCACCACATATATGGTGCGTTTAAAAGCGTCTGAGTTGATAGTGAGATTAGTCCGCAGTGGGGGGTGTGAGTCCAGTCTGCCAGGTTCTACTCACCCGTCTGACCCTCGGCCCGGGTCCTGGTCGCATGGGAGGAGCCTGTGAGCGTCTGGGGGACACAAAACCATCTCAATATATGCACAAACCAAACACTAAACTGACTCAAAAGAAAGTCAAAGGGTTTGGGGTTAACAGAGATATGATACAAACACACACCTGTGTTTTGTCTGCTGGGATTTGTTTCTGAGGGGACTTCGTTTGCAGGAATGTCTTCCTTTTCTTGAAGCACCTCCGACACCAGAGCCATCAACTTCTCCAGCCTCACCAGCTCCTTCTGCATTTCCACCTTTTGCTAAAATAGGAGGAGAACTGAGTAAAGCGGAAAACCGTACAATAAAACAAGTCTTACACTTCCATCACATAATGGGGGGGGGGGGGGGGGCACGTACTCTCTGCAATCTGTCAATCTATGAGGAGGGAACAACACGGTTATTTATTATTGGAAGTGAATGCCAGACAGCACTTAGTGAAGAAAGCAGACGTCAGAATAAGAGAGCGAGAAGGCGATTACTACGCAATATTTAAGATAAATGAGAGGCGATCGGGAGGCTGAGCGACAAACACTTTGTCCAACTGGTGCTCGTTTGAAAGAACAGAGTCTATTAGTTTAGAACTCTGTTTCAAAGCTTCACTTGCATCCATCCTTTAAGTTAAGACAGCCAAGTGAATTGATTAAAACAGACACACGAAGCACAACAGTACAAATGTGTGTGTGTGCGTGTGTGTAATCGTGGGCCCCCACTAAACCGCGGGGGGTGTGAGACACACCCTCTCCCCGTGGAAGACAGTCGACTGGTAAGAGAGAGAGTGAGCCGGCAAGATGGATGAGGTAGAAAACGAGAATCATCTTCCAGGGCGGCATTTCCTCCAACCCTAAATGAAATGCAATTTAGAAAGCCGCTGAGGGGGACATTTTTCACAGATCGAGGCAGTCCGTCATCCAGGGCTGACAGATGGGGTTTTGCAGCGCAGAGGTCGCCCTCTACGGGGCGGGACGTCACAGTGCATCACCGGGGAGCGCGACGCGCCCGTTGATGCCGAACGAGCGACTTGCTGCAGGTTGGAACCACCGCTCTCCTTTGTCAAGAATCTTAGTCGTTTTCTTTTTTTTTTTTACCTGCGTAACGAGGACTTCACTTGAAAATTGTGATGATTCAAACTGTGAGGAAACACCGACGTCATTCGCTGGGACGTTACCTGCAGAGGGGGAACAATCATTGTTTGCGACAGTGATGAGCCAACTGAGCTAAACGTCATTTTCGGTCACTCACAATAAACTTACATTCGTCCGGCGTGCCGAACAGGTCAACGGACGCCTGGCTGGAATGAAGCTCGTCGGGGCTGGGGCACGCTGGCGTCCCGCCGGCTGGGGCACCCGCACACCCATCAGCCTCCCGGGACCCCCGCCGACCCTCCGTCCCGGAGGGAGCCGCCGACTTTCCGAAGATTTCCGTCAAAGTCGGCAAATCCTCCCCGCTCTCGCCGGACTCAAAGGAAGACTCCAGCCTCCTCGCCCTCTTCCTCTTCCTGGGCGCGCTCTCCGCTGGCGAATGGGAGGTCGGCTCTCCGCTGCGCGACGTCGGTATTCCGAGGCCATCGGGGGTTAAGGAACCCTCTGCATTTGAGAGATGTTGAGCGCTGCAGACAGAGGTGCCTCCCCTCGTCTCCTTCCCTCGGCCGGCGTCCCTCGCGGAGCAGCCCGGCTGACTCTGAGAATAGTTCGAGGGCTCACGTGGCTCCAAGTGTTCGGCCGCTCCGAAGCAGAGGCCGGAATGGAGCCCTCGAGGCGCAACCGAGCGACGGGGGCTTTTGATATCCCGCGTTGACACTTTATTCGGAGTGAGGCCACTGCTGACACCATTCCTGGAGGAAGAGTCGCCCCCGTGACCTGAGCAGCTGCTCTCGGGGTCGGAGGCCTCCGGCGTCTCTTCGTCTGGTTTCTCGAGAACGGGCTTTCTTGTTTGAGCGGGAGAATTAGAAGGGGAGATGAAATCGCTCCAAGGGGAGTTTTCATCGCCTCTCAACGCCTGCAGGTCGGTTCTTTCAGCGCTAACTGGCGGGCTGTCCTCTGCGTCGGCGCGCCGCGGGTTTTCGGTGTCTGAACCGCGGCTTTGTTTCACATTTGGGCCGCCAAAGAAGAACGATTTTCTTTTGGTGGCTTTGAAGCTCTTGAGCAGCAGCTCGGTGTCCAGCTCGCTGTCGTTCTTGTCCTCGTCGTCGTGACATTTAGTCACGTGAGCGACAGTTTCCAACCGACGATCGTCCTGGTCGGCGTTTACGAGCGTTGGATCCACCGCGGCGTCGGCCGGACTCGAGGAGCTCGGGACTTCGGCAGCGTTGGGCGCAACGTTCGCTTCGGCCAACGGTTCAGCATCCGGCACCTCGGCGGCGGACTCTTCAACGGCTTCCGTTGGTCCCGAATAAGGCGGCATCTCACTGGACTCCAGGTCTTCGATCCCTTCTAACTCTTGATCAAAAACACATCCGTTTCTTTCAGTCGCCGGTGTCACGTTTCCACCGTTGGCTTCCTCGGATCGCTTTGGAGCATTTCGGTCTTTTTCAGCTCTAACGGCTTTCAGGTTTGCTTTCTTGTGACTCTCTTGGACTTCCTGAGTGAAGAGTTGAAGTCTTCTGCTCCTCCTGGTGCTCCTCGTTGTAGGGATCTCTTGGTCTTCGCTGCTCGGGTAATTCTCAATGTGAACTTGAACTTCTTCCGACCTCGGCCTGGCCTTGGGACTGGTTTCTCCATTTTTAACTCCAACCAGAACAAGGGGTTTCTGCACTTTAGCAGACTTGCCTCTTTCCGTCCTTGTGTTTTTACTATTCCTATTCTCCGTTTTCTTTGCCTTAGCTTGCAAATCCCCGTCGACCTGCTGCAGAGTGTTACATGTCCTTCTGTTTGACCTCCTCCTGTCCACCTGTCCACTGTCAGACACGTTACAGGGAACTTTGTCATTGATTTGGTCACTTTCTGGCAGGTTGTTTAACCCTTCTCCATATTTATCTTTTTCCTCCATAACCTCAGTCTGTTCCGCTTTTGCAACTACGTCACTGCTGGCATCATCTACTTCTTCCGTCTTTTGCTGCTCTTCCTCCATGTCGCTTTCACTTTTATCATCAGAGATTGTTTCCTTGACAAAACCAGCAGGAGTGACAGTGTTTATTTTCCTGGTTTTGGAGATAATTTGCGTTTCTTTGGTTGCTGGCGTTTCGATTAAAACATTAAGCGGAGGAGCGATGACCTTGTTGCCTCTCCGCTCCCGTTTGTAGACGGCACCAAACACCTGATCTTCGAGGCCTTTAGCCCGTTCCTCTCTCCTGGAATTGACATCACTGTTGTGTATTTTGATATCTTTTGTTGAAGCGGTGGAGCAGCTGTCAGAATCCTCCGTGTCCTCGTTGGGTTTGTCCAACTCGAGACTTCCTTCAGTTGGAACCGTCATGAGCCACTCGGCAACTTTCTGTAGACTCTTCTTCTTTTTTTCCTCATGAACCTTGTCGGGCTTCAAATCCTTTTGGAGCTTCTTCCTTGTGGACATTCTTAAAGGTCGGTGTTCAGGCTCGTCTGGAGTCAACGATGGCGGCAGGGGGGGTTTCTCCAATTTACGGAGCCTTTTTTTGCGTCTATTTTTGTGTGTCGACGTTTCCACAACTTCTGAAATGTCCGTTTCCAGTGGTTCCAAATGATCCGTGGGGCTGCTGATCTTCTTGGACGAAGTTGGATGGGCCTCACCAAGGCCACTGTCCAGGCCTTCAACGTCTGTCATTGTGGGACTTGTGTCTTCAAGTCCCATCAGTTTTGCAAATCCATTCTGGGCTAAAAGGATTTGGAAAATGACCAATGGTTAACCTTTTGGAAGACAGACTTGTACAATAAAAGCAGCTTTTAAATACACGTAAATCTTCAAATTCGTTTGAGGGGAAAATGCAGCGCAACATACATGTACTCCAGATTTTACCTGCTATGGTGGAGGAGTGAGACTTTGAAGGATCCTGATTGTTGACACTGTCCACGTTGTCGGGGGTATCTCCCAATAACTTATCGGGACACGGTTCATCCTCTGTGACTCTGAATAGAGCAAAATACAACAAAAAAAGATGAGGTAAAACTATTAATAAATAAGCATTTGTGTTATGACTGGCATGCGTTTGAAGGACTGTATTATATTATTCGTCCGAAGAGGAGTTAAGCAGTCAAAACATCATTGGATACTAATCAAAAATATTTTCATGAGAGCAATCTCCAGTGTGGGGAATGTATTTATAACCCTGTGTCCAGCACCGCCCAGAACATATATATATCTCCGAATAACAAGCCAGTTAAATGTTCAAATGTCTCACCCCGGTTGCCCTTTCTGCTGGGACATTCCAGTGAAGTCTGAAACAATAGTGGATGTCATTAGAAAACTGAATGTAAGTTTGTTCGTTTTAAGTGATTTTCTCTTACAGTTGGTGCCGGTGTCGTGTTCATAAGCCTTTATCATGTCCTGCAGTCCTGCTACAAGTCGCTGAAAACCAGGACTTTCCTGTAAGCTCCTGTAAAACAATACACAGATCCTATGATAATGAGTAAGTATTCAAAATAATCAAGGTTACAGTGTCATCTTGTTGATTTTTTCCAACCTTTTGGTAATTTTGGTTTTACACACTGGACAGTTTGTCCTGTTTTTCTTAGTGCTGTCCAAAAGTTTCATCATACAAAATCTGGGGTGGAAAAAAAGAAAACACAAATCGTTTTTCTCAGTGCTTGAAAAAAAGCAAACGTTTAACTATCAGTTAATAAGATAGGAAGTAATCAAACATGACTTACTTGCAAAACTGATGGTCACACTTTGTAGAAACAGGTTCAGTCATTAAATCCAAGCTGCATGTGACAATACGTATAATGACAGTAAACAATTCATCAAACATTCTGCAGGTGCAAAATGACATTTTCTCATCAGATTTCTTGGCCAGCATGACACTCACCAAATGGGACATTGCATGGTCTCCCAAAGGACTGAAATACCTTTCCTGACATCGGTGGTCGTCGGGGTTTTCATGCTGCTTTTTTTAAAAGCTACAAAGTAAAAATCAGAGCACATTAAGAGCTGACTGGACCGAAAAGATAACAACGCGGTGAGGTTAAGACATCCGGACTGTGGTGTCATCAATCCGAAGCTGAAAAACGCAGTTAGCTAAACATGAGACTGGCTAACGTCACGTTAGCCGCTATGGTTTGTTGTTGGGAGGTTAACGTTACACAACTCTAGCTCTAACCTCTCGTTCCTGACTTTCTGAGATTCAACACGAACATTTCTGCGGAACACCATTTGTCTCAAAAGGTCGACAACATGTTATAGCACATAAATAGCACTGGCTAGTTGTAAAAAGTTGTTTTTGTTTAACAATCCAAATTTACCCTGTTTTCTTACAGTTGGGATTTAACAACACAGCTACCTTTCGCTTCAGTTTTCCCGCAACTATTGTCTTCTTCTCGCGAAATTGCGTTTTGCAGCAATTGTTACAGCGCCGCCCACCTGGCTGTAAAGTGAACTACATACTACAAATAATGGCATAATTAAGTCATAATAAGACAGTATTTCATGATCTTTTCCTGGGGGAAAAGGGTGAGTTGATTGTTTGTGTTGTTGGAAGAATAAAGTAAATAAACGAAGGTGGAAAAACAAGGATTTAATGACATTACCCCGAGTCACTTTCACGCTTTAAACATGACGTCACATCCACCGTAAATAACAACAAGGAAGTGGAAAGAGAAGACCCGAGGTGCTGAAATGCAACAGTCACGCTAAAATATCCAAAGTGATTTCTAATTTTTAAAGCACTCAAATCCGGATTATTATGCAATAGTTTCCATTTCTCACAAGCAACAGTAAGTCTATTTTTTACGTGTTAAGTCACACACAAGCTAGCTGCAAAGCTAGCTTCGACTTTAGCCGAACAGCTAACGTCAACGAGCAAGAAAGCTGTGATCTGTGACGTTAACTTTTAAAAACATATACGCGTTGGCAGTCAAGCGGTCATTCGTTCCAATCACTACATATTTGTTATTAACAGAGTGCATCTAATGTCTCATGTTGTAGCGATGGAGGGCTCCAAGTCGTCGAGCACAACCATGCAGGTGAGCTTCGTGTGTCAGCGGTGCTGTCAGCCGCTTAAACTGGACACATCTTTCAACGTGCTCGATCGGGTTACAATCCAGGACCTCATCGGTATGTATATACAGGAGATATAAACCACCTACGCGTTTGGCAGATGTGGCGTGGCGGCGTTTAAACTGTCACCTCTGCTCCTCAGCTCCGTTGGTCACAGTGACTCCCAGCAAACAGGCTGACAGGAATGTGGGAGAAACCGCACCAGAGGTTGGTACAGCAGAATAAACATGCTGTGATGTACTGTTAGGATATTTTCAGCACAGGATTACCCCATACGGGACTGCAAATATCTGGTTTATTAGAGTTATTTCTTTGAGCAACCACTGTGACAATCGACCCCGCTTGTATAGTTATATGAAAATGATGTGATAAAACAGTGACAGACTGATGAGATAAAACATGGACAAAAGGTAAAACGTATTAAATGTAGTCTTTAAAGCCACAATCATTTTTTCCTGTCAGGAGACCTTTGTAGAAAACAAGCAAGATGGAGTGTCAAGAAAATACATCCCTCCTGCACGGTGAGCACTCGAGTCTTCAGTCTTAAACTGATCATATTTCATGTGTTGATTAACTCCTTGTTAGTGTCTCTGTTGCATTTGCAAGTCTACCCACAGCTCAGTGACAAAGTTCACGGAACCACTTATTCCTGCTCTACAGGGTGATGTCAACGGAGAGCGCCAACAGCTTCACGCTGATTGGAGAAGCGTCAGATGGGGGCACCATGGAAAATCTTAGTCGTAGGCTGAAGGTAAAGTCAACTTTTAACTTTGCGGAAATATATTAACTGGATTATGTCAGTTTCTTCTGCTCATCCAATTTTGGCTGGAATATCAGACAAGTAGGTGGTTTGCAAAGCAGTCTGTTTTTCGGTGGACTCATTGTGGCTCTGATTCCATCCCACCCAGGTGACCAGCGACCTGTTTGACATCATGTCGGGCCAGACGGACGTGGACCACCCGCTGTGTGAGGAATGTACTGACACCCTGCTTGATCACCTGGACACGCAGCTCAACATCACGGAGAACGAATGCCAGAATTACAAGTGAGCCCGGTGCACAGCAAATATTCAAAATGCCTACCTTGGACCAAAGAGCGTGTGTAATGACCTTACATGTGAATGTATTTACAGGCAGTGCCTTGAGCTGCTGTCACACCTGCAGGTGGAAGGAGAAGAGACCCTGCTGGCGGAGCTGCGTCAGCTGAACGAGGAGGAGGAGGCTCTGGTCCAGGAGCTGGAGGCGGTGGAGGAGCAGAGGGCTGCTGTGTCCCAGGACTTGAACCAGAGCAGGGTCCACTCTCAGCAGCTGGACACAGAGGAGCTACAGTGAGTGTGACCCAAAGGGTTCGTGGGCGATGTTTGTGATACAAATGAGACCTCCGGCTGACAGCTCAGTCTCTTTCCACTGCTTTGTGCCAAAAAGGTACCAGAAGGAGTACAGCGAGTTTAAGCGGCAGCAGCTGGAGCTGGATGACGAGCTGAAGAGCGTTGACAACCAGATGCGTTACTGCCAGATTCAGCTAGATCGCCTGAAAAAGACCAACGTCTTCAACGCCACTTTTCACATCTGGTACGCTACGCTAAGAATTAATCTTTCTATTTATGTCAACCAATTAACTAACCATGACGTGGCAAATATCTGATATAGAGGAATCAATGCCTATTAGCTAAGGATGTGAGTTCCTTGTCTCTGTTCTGGTCCAGGCACAGTGGCCAGTTTGGAACCATAAACAACTTCCGCCTGGGTCGACTTCCCAGCGTCCCAGTGGAGTGGAATGAGATTAACGCCGCTTGGGGGCAGACGGTGCTGCTGCTGCACGCTCTGGCCAATAAAATGGGACTGCGCTTCCAGAGGTGTTTTACCGCAGTTGTTCAGAATGAATGTTTATTGCAAGTATTCTTCTAAGTCAGGGCAAAAGGAAGCTCAAATAGCAGCTTTCTCTCTTCAGATATCGTCTCGTCCCGTATGGAAACCACTCGTACTTGGAGTCACTGACCGACAAGTCCAAGGTAGTACATAGAATATGTTTTCCAACACAGCTCTCCCGTCATATATGAACTCCTCGAGGCTCCAATTCTGCTCTTTCTTTCTGTCTTGTGTTTGTCCAGGAACTTCCTCTGTATTGCTCAGGTGGCCTGAGGTTCTTCTGGGACAATAAATTCGACCACGCCATGGTGGCCTTTCTGGACTGTGTCCAGCAGTTCAAGGAGGAGGTGGAAAAAGGAGACACTGGCTTCTGTCTTCCGTACAGGTCAGACAGCCGCAGCACACTGTGCACATTCTGAAATGGAGCGGAGTGGAATGCGAGCTGTAAATGTAATGAAGTTCGAAAGTACATTGTAAACCATTACTTCAATTTATCCTGGCTGGATAGTTTTCTGCTTTGATGAAGCTGTCGGTGCAAATAAGACATTCGGGAAAGCCTCGGCTATAAAACCATTTTAATTAATAAAGCAGGACCTCTGGCACATCACTTCTGTAATTTGCAATATAAAGCTAAAAGTCCAATTGAGAAATTCACACTACACCGATTCCGCACTGGTGCTTCACACACACGTGAGCCTACAAACATGATGAAACATCACAGCAAATCCATTCAGGCAGAGAAATGTTCGGTCAAACTTATCGTCTTATTCCATGCCTCAGGATGGACGTGGAGAAGGGCAAGATCGAGGACACTGGTGGCAGTGGTGGCTCCTACTCCATCAAAACGCAATTCAACTCCGAGGAGCAGTGGACCAAGGCGCTCAAGTTCATGCTCACCAATCTGAAGTGGGGACTGGCCTGGGTGACCTCACAGTTCTACAACAGATAAGACTTTCTGCACAATGCCGTTGAGATTTGGCCTATGATGCATATGCTTCTCTGGTGGTTGGATGTTCCGTGAATCTAAATCGAATTACTTGCCAAAGGAAAATAAATGGTTTTGTGTGAAGTAATGTTGTAGATCTTCGGTCCAAACTGTCTGTTTTTACACGTCATAAAGAAGGGCATTTTGCATCTGCTACAATGTGGAGTTAATGAATTGGGTGCCCACTTTTGAAGTATTAAATACTTATCACCTCTCCCTGAGATACCAGGATGATAAAAAAAAAAAACTTATGCTTCTCTTACCTGCCGAATTGTGGTTTGGCTTTTTGTGAAAAGCTGACTTAACATTAAACAAACCGCACCGTAAAAAGAAATGTTCACCAAAACAAGAACCTCTTACCACTCAAGTTTTCCCATGTTTGTCACTTGAGCTGCAAGAGTTGGATGTGATGATCATGGTCAAATTTGTAATAGACGCACACGGTTTAGTATTCAACAAGTGTCAGTATTTCATTCACCTTTAATGTAGTCATCACGTTTGACACTTCAAAGTTACATCTCCTGTGTGTTCATACTCGGCACCATAACGTTGTTTGTTTTAGACACAATGGATTCTTTATAGTGTGATTTAAGGAAATAAAATATTTCACACAAAAAAAAAAGTCTGAAGAGCTTCTTATGAATTGAAATGAATATACCAACAGCATGAATTGAATCAACTAATGCTGGTAAAACTCTTAAATGTGTACGTAACGTCCAGCCCTCTCCCAAAGAAAATACCCAGCAAAGTTAGTCAAATGTATTTTTAATGCGTTCATATTTATTTCTGTATAATCTTAGCTCATTACAGCACTCAGTCATCCCCCTACAATGTTAACAAACATTAGAGGGAGCACATTTCTTGGAAAAATAGGGACTTAATTAAAATAAGCTGACTTCCAGTTATCCAGTAAAATATCATTTATAGACTTAATAGTGCCATGTCAACAAGGTAGACCTTCAACTTTGGTCATCAGTAATTCCTTATCACCTCATTCCAACCGATGGGGATACATATTTGAAACTACCACTTTAGTTCTGGTAAACTCTTTTGATAGATGACGCCTTTGAAGCAGAATGAGGTGATTGAATGCTTCTTATAAACCTCCCACAGCATTCAGGCAGCTGATCTCACACACACATGCCGAACTTTTCTCAGCCTGTCGCTTGTGCAGTATCCTGGGTGCTTTTACTACTCTTATAGTAACTAGGGCAGACTTAGCAGGTAAGAAAGCCCCATGAAAGGTTTTTGTTGGTGCATGGGCACATCTTTGGGTTCTACTGAGCCCACATCCACAGACTGGCCCTTCATTTTTAGCATTTGCATGATTGTGGTGGACACAATTAATTTTTTATCACCACGGCATCCATCTTTTTTTGGTTCCATCGACGCTTTTACCCACATCCCATCATGCTGTCTGCAGCCCCCAACCAAGAGACCAAAGGAGGAGTTTCATCAAGCGCGTGACTTCGTCCTCGACGGGGATTTGTTCCGGTTCCTGTCGGATTGGTTTCAGTTGGAGGCACTGCTGCCGTAGCAGCCGGAGGTGGAGGGGAGCGGGGGGGCCTGAGGCGTGCTGCTGGCCAGGGCTTTGCGAATGTGGGGCATTAGGAAGGGGTCGCTGGCCAACTGCAGCACATCCACGCGGCCCTCCTTGTGATAAGCCAGGCAACGTCTGATGAAGGCCTGTGTGAAAAGTGAAAGGGACTCAATTATTTCTGGAGGAGATGCGGTATAAATTTATAAAGTGTAATGGGAAAAGTGCAGTGACTTTTTTTCCCAAGAGAGGTGAGCACCAGACCTTTGCTTCTGCAGTGACCACAGGTTTGGGGGGAAATTGCACCTCAGTGGCTTTTAGTATGGTGTTTTCTTGAAGGATATCCTGCTGTGACTGGTTGTGGCCAAAAGGCTGGAATAAGACAAAGGGGAGACTGTTAACAACAAAAATAAAAAAAAATCCTTGTGAAAGAATGCAGGCAAGTGGTTACCTTGCGTCCATACAAGCTTTGATAGAAGATGACTCCTACTGACCAAACGTCCACCTTGTTGGATATTTTGGGGGGCTCCTTGCCCACCACAAAGCACTCCGGAGGCAGATACCTGTGAGTCACACGATCACAACTTCAGATTGAAACAGTGCACAATTTTCTAAATGAAAAGTTGAAGTGAATTCAAATATCAACATTTACATCAAACGTTTAAGCCTATAAACTATAAACACATGAAGCCATTTGCTCGCTGGCTGAATGCAGGGACGTGTGTCTCCATGTACCAGTAGGTCCCTGCTCCTTGAGAAGTGAGCTCCATGCCATCTGTAGAGTTGTAGCTGTCATCATCCATGATCTTGGACAGGCCAAAGTCAGTAATTTTTATCTCTCCACAAGCTGTGCCGTTAACTAACAGGATGTTTCCTAAAAACAGGAACAGTGAAATTACAAACGTAACATTGTAAATGGCCTTTTCTGAGGAATGAATACACGTTTACAAATATTCATCTGAATTCACATTCACATCACATGGCGAAGAGCTTTCTGCCTCAACTGTTAACATTCATGTTTGAAGAGACCCATATACGACATCAGGTCTAACCGATCTCTGCACTGAATGCTTCAACAATAACGTAACACACACTGGATTGGTTGGAGTCAACCACTGCTCAATAAGTGGGTAACTCGGTTTTGTGAACTTTATATTGACTATTCTATAACAGAAGGGGGTTGACAAAAGGGGCAAATACCAGGCTTGAGGTCGTAGTGGATGATGGGTGGGCGAATTTGGTTGAGGTACTTGAGGGCGTTGACTATCTGCATGACGATGGAGCGGCCCTCCTTCTCGCTCATCAGCTTATTCTGCTTCAAGTAGAAGTCCAGGTCATTGCCTTCACAGTACTCCAGCACTGTGCAGAACCTGCGTGTGGTACGAACGGGTTGTTCGGGAAGTTTCCATCAACTTTAAATGAGGCACATACAGGTTTGGATTTTTAACATTTATTTGTAGAATGATTAACTTACGAGTCTGTGTCGAGTGAAAAATAGTCATAGAGCTTGACGATTCTAGGGTGGTCAAGTTCTTTGTGGATTCTGTACTCTCGACAGGCGTGTCTGAAAAGGCATTAACGACTTAGTAACTTTGTACAAACATCCCAAATAACAGTTTTCAGCAGGAAGGTCCACAAAACAAAATGTTACATGGATACATTTCCAATGATGCAAAGAAAGCAGACAACGCACATGAACAGCAGTGCAGACTCACTTGTGGTAGTTGTGCTTCTTCTCCTCCCTCCAGTTCTTGTTGAGTTGATGAATTTTAATGGCCACATACCTTTGCTCTGTCAAATCAAAAGCCTGCAAAAAGTGGACACCTTATCTGCAGATGTTTACTGGATACAGAGTGTTGTGAGTCTCATCACAATTACTTCTGATTTCTCTTTGCATTACTCCAAAAGACTCAGTTTAGATAAAATGAAAGATCATCATCTGGTACTCACAAAGAATGAAAGTAGAGACCAAAAGTGTGAATAGCTCAGGCTTACCTTAAAAACCTCACTAAAGCCACCTCTTCCCAGTAAATGCAATAGCAGATATCGCTCGTTCAGCGTGGGCTGGTCTTTAAATCTATAGAAGAAGACTTTCTTAATACACTTATTCGATAGAAGCAAACTACGGAACTTAAACTGAGACGATACATACTGAGAGTTGTCCTCGTTATGGATTCTCTTCAGCTCCCGAATGTGCAGGTTTCTCACTCGCTCCAAATGCTCCAGTTCAGCCTGCATCTCTGCTTCTTCCTGCACACAACCACACACGTCGGTCATCTACAGCAACACATGATGAACAGAAACAGGCAAGAACAATGCTGTGCGTGGACACAAATCCCCAATCCATAAAAACCAGGAACAAGCGGCTTTAAATGGTGAACTCTACCTTTTTGAGATAACCAATTCGAAGTTTAAAAATCTCCTCTTGCTCATGATATTCTGCCAGTGACAACCTGTGTGAGATAAAGAGGCAACAGTTTGTAATATATAACAGTATAAGCAGGCCAGCACTGAGAGGAAGAAAAACCTTGCATGATACAATCCGATAAAACGGATAGTTAAAAAAATAAGCAAATACAAATTACAGATCCGTCCAACTTAATTTGTCTCAACAAAAAAAAGGTTTTGTGTCAATTTGATATTCTGCTGTTGAGATAAAGCTCAGAGTGTCTGTATGTAACCAATTATAACCAGCATAATATATTTTAAAATAATAACATTAGCCATTAAGGAAAATAATTGAAGTCAGGTTACACCACAACAATTCATTTCTAGACTCATCTGTACTTTAGGGCCGAGCAGCATGACATTTCTGCTCTTTGAAGTGATTTAGCTATCATTTGTAATCTTACGCTTCACTCTCCTGGCCGTTGCTCCTGCTCTTTCGCTTGTTCTGCTCCAGGCTGGCTGGAGGTGTCTGGGCCATGGAGGGAGGTTTCCTCTTTCCCAGCAACTTCCTCTGCCTCTCAATATCCTCTCGCTGCGTGTTGACCCGCTCCTGCTGCCTAAAACACGCAACAACAATCTACTGTGAACATGCTCGCAGGCGGCCCGGACAAAATGTAAACATTCGCCTGCGCCGATTTGCGTGCTGACTTGATGAGGTTCTGGAAGGCGTATCCATCGGTCCACTGCTCGGTGAAGGAGGCTCCGTGCCGTACGGTGGTGAAGTGGCCCAGACGCAGACGATCCTGCATGCTCTTGTCCCTGCAAGCCATCTTCTCCTGCTTTGACTACGGAGAAAAACGAAAAATTGAAAATTGCGCTTGCACGCTTCAAAAAGCCAACGCAAGCTGCCGCCTGTTAAATTAACATGTTTGTGTATATTTCTACTCGCACTTTCTCAATAAGCAGCTTCTTGCTCATGGTCCCACACTTGTTGAGCCGCTCCTTGTAACGCTCCAGCATCTTCTGCTGGTCATCCACCTGCCGCCTCAAGTCACAGTTAGCCTGCAAAAAAATAAAATCTAATTTGAATGACAACCTGGATTAAAGGTTGTTTTGTTGTCAAACTGACATGATGATGCAGCAGCCAGCAGAGGGTCAGCTTGCTGACATTTATACCAAATGTATTTTAAGCAAAGCATGGCATTAAAGAAAGTGCAAGTGATATGAGTTGTGACCAGACCAGTGCAGGTTAATAACTGGGGTTGTTGTGACAAGTGGTAGCGCATTTATTTAGATTGTGATGCAATTATTAAAGGGCATTTGTGAATTGGCCTAACGCATTTATTAATATTCCGACATACGTTTGACTATGTGTGTAACATGAAAAATTGCTGGATTACTTTAATGTGGTATTTGAGTAAGGTTTTGGCAGAAATAAAATGATAAAAATAGGACTGCTCAGGATGTTATTTCAAAATGGGCCAAATTGGCCAGATGAAGGTTGGCTCATCAGATTTTTAAGACAAACTTTAAATGTGTTCTCAGCCTACCCTTAACAGGTCGTCGATCCTCCCCTCTTTCTTCTCCAGGTCAGAGTTCTTGTCCTTCTCCAGTGCCGTCAGTTTCAGCAGCGTCAGTTCCGACTAAGCAAGAAGAGCAAAGTAACGACAAGCCAAAAATTACCACCTCTTCCAACTCATTTGATGCAGACAACCCTTTGACCAGTTAACAACAAAACACCATCATCTTAAATCTAAATCTAAAGGAATTCAAAATGTTGACCTTTAATTATGTCATTTGCAAAGATAGCTGGAGGTTACTCAACCCCAATTGGGATTTGGGTGACAAAGCTTTTGAAAATGTGACCTTTAATTCTTGCACATCGTTAACAACCAGGACAACACAGGGTGTGAAGTTGCACAATCTCTACCCGTTTGGTTGAATTCAACTATTAGTGTCAGAAATGCCATTTAATTCTAAATACGACGCAGCTATTGAGACAAAAATACACCTTTTTCTGATGAAGGACAACATCATCGGTTCCTGCAAGAGGTAGATGTAAAAGGAACTATCTCTGCAAAATTATCTGATAATTGTGTGTTAAACTGAGCCCAGCGATTTACCTGGATGGCTTTGTGTGAGCAAAAGTGTGTGGGGGCCGTCTTCACAGAGCTGCAAGATGAAGAGTCTGTGTGGGCTGAGCCCGTGGACGAAGGACTGCCTTGCTGAAACTGCTTTCCAGAGAGACATACGAAAAAAAAAGAGAAAGGTTGAAAGACACATGGGTAAAATATAACAATTATGTAATAAAGGATAAGGGAGATTAAAATATAGCAAAAAAAAATTAAAAGGAACAATATTCACTCCTGTCCCATGGCTGCAATACGCGGTTTACATGCAGGTTAGTAGGAAGGGAACAAAGTTGTGGTGAAAATGTTATCTCAACATAGGGGAATGAAAATGGAAGGTGAAAAGATTCTTAATTAGATTAATTCACAAGATCATTAGCAAAAGCCCGTAATCATTTGAAAGGGCAGGTGTTAAGCTTTCATAATGTACACAAGGTTGTCCAGTAACATCTGGAAACAACAACACACACACACAAACTACTCACTCCATGTTCTGGTTGATTTCTATTTCTGTTAAAGTCAAACTAATAGAATATATTTCAGTAAAATGTATGTGTTTAACAACCCCTAGGCCAATTAAAGTGTGTCACTTGCACTGGCTGAATGGAGACAAACCCGACGCTAATTGAATAGATCAGACTTTGGTATGACACGTGGCTAAGCAAGCGTCTCCAATCAAGAGGATACCGATAACAAGTAAATAGAGAGAGACCCATCGGCAGATTAATTTGATACTGGCCAAAGTTTTACCACCCGGTAAACTGACAGAGGAGAGCCAAAGCGGTGGAAGGCTAGGGAGATGGATGCTGGTGCTCACCAGAGGATTAGACAGTGAGTGCTGTGGAGAGGAGCGCACCAGCATTGGGACGCCCCGGGCCGGACTGGTGCCAGAGCCACTGCTACCAGCAAACTGGCCACAGGGCAGGTGACAAAGTGAAAGCAAGAAAGAATAGAGAGTTGTTATTTAAGAAAAATGTGATGATGGAACGTACCGGCACAGGCGGGACCGAGAGTGAAGACATCACACAGAAGTTGGTGAGTGATTTGAAACAATGCACAGCAAAGGAGACAGATTGCTCAATTAAAATGGCCGTGACTTAGTACTCACCTCAAAATAATCACTCATTTTCTGCCCTCTTCCTTTTCCTACAAATAAAAGAAAGAAGACCAGACAGCAAGAAGATATAAAACGGTTTCATAATTTGATCCGTGACTATGTTCTTAAGCATACACACATACACATACAGGAAAGTTGATAATTTTGGAATATGAGTGAATGTTTCTGTTCTCTCCCTCAGTGAGTAGTTTGGACTTACCCGGGCTGTTGCTGTCATAAAGGTCTCCCTTTCTCTTCCTGCATCTCTGGTCACTTGACTTCTTCTCAGGTGTCTAACATGAGCAGAAAAGCAGCACAGCTTAGCTTTGGATAGTTGCACCGTGAGGCTTATTCCATTAGACACATTAACGTAACTGCAAACACTTCATTGACCAAATTAAGCCTCACGTCTTTAATTATATACAATTGCACTCCTCGATTTAAATTCACTTTTCACCACAGTGCAGCAAGATTAATAGAATCTTTTTTGTGTGCGGTTGATCCAGTTATTCATACCAACCTCCAGTTCCTTGTCACTAAGTGATCCTGCACTGCACAGAGACTGGTTGGATGATTCACTGTTGGCTGAACTCTGGAAAACAGAACACACACACACGCACACACGATGAAGCACTCATGTACACCGAGGGATGATGTTTACAATTGTGATACGGGTTTCTTCAGATTTTCAAAACCTTTACACACGTGTGTACATTATTTTTCTTATCATGTCTTATAATCTTATTTTTGTCAGAATTCCAGCATGTTCATCGAACACTTTACAGTCATTAAGCTGAGCTCAGCTAGGACGCTGCAACGGGCTAATACACATACATCACATTTTTAATCTACAAATCTCTTGGTAAAATCAGTTGCTTATATTAAAGGCCAGCTGTACAGCCAGAAGGGACTCATAAGAAACCGCAGGCTAATTGGTGCGTTTAGCTAATGCTTTTAAAGGCCAGCTGTCATTCTGCTGCTCAAGGTCACAAATAGAGCAATAAATGTTCTCATTCTTTCTCCCAACATATGCTATGCACCACACAATGACATTGCTACATCAACATTTACTGCAGACATCATACTAGCAGCCTCAAAATCATTATGACTCTAATACCACAGTGAGCCGGCCTAACAACTCATTTTACGCTGTAAGCCGGAGCGGGGATGATGGTGACTGCTTTCTCAGGGGTTGCCATTTTGTCAAACGCACACCCACACACAGTAATACCCAGTTCAACAGCAGGGTTGCAGCATAGCACGCAGCCTACGCTGCGAGCTTCAGCTGCGGTGCGATTTCAGTGTCACCGGTCCGTGCTGAAACAAAGAGCTGCTGGCCAGCTCCAATGTCAGCCCGAGACAGAGCACGTCTTGTTTCTGCTTTCTGATCGGGAGGCGAGATCATTTCAGTGAGAGAAACTTTTGGACACAGAGCGTCCGTCAATACTGGGATTAAAAAAAAAGAGAGAAAAGGCAGTTTTAAACTGACTAAACTAACATAACAAAGCAGACCGGCAGCTCGGTTTGCATCACACACACACATATATATATATATATATATAATATATATATATTATATATATATATATATATAATATATATATATATATATAATATATATATATATATATATAATATATATATATATATATAATATATATATATTATATATATATATATATATATATATATATATATATATACTCTGTTTGAGGGATATTTGCTTGACAAATTTCTCAACAACCAAATCAAGGCAACTCCTAATCACCACAACTGTGTAACATCGGCACAAACGATCCAAACTTAAGAGGGGGCTGATCATTTTGAGCATCGACAACTACCAGTATGTGATTGAGGGATGCTCACCTTGGCCACACCAAGTCCAGTGAAGCGAGCTTCCAGCAGTTCCTGCCTGCGTGGGTCCAGACTTATAGCCTGGCTGTGAAGTCCTTCCATCATGCCTTGGGAAGAGAGATGCAAATAATTAATACAAATGGGACTAACCGGGTTGGGTTTATGTCTAACTTGACAAGCACAGATATTTTTTAATTCTCACACAAATTGTATTCTGTGTTTAGATGAAAGAACAAACATTTATTTTAAATGATACATTAATGAATTCCCCAGCCAACATCTTTAAATAAGTGACATTAAGCAGAATGTAGGCACTTAAGTCACGTTTAATGTGAATGACAGTCGCTCAAAAACAATCACGGATAACTAACGTTAAATGATTCAAAAAAGAACACAAGGATTGATAATTAGGTTAAGTAGTCTGACAACTTGAAAACATTGCTATAGAAAAATGAGTTGCTTCAATTAAACTTCAATGACCAAGCCTCAACTTTTTTTCAAGTTAAACCATCTTTCAGCTAAAGTAAGATGACAGTTTATGGAAAATTCGTGACTGTAATCGACGGACATTGTGTTGACCCACTGGGCTAACACCAACGTCAGCGGGATCAAATGCTAGAATTCCGATCCAAAATTCGGGAAACCGTTACAGAAAGAAAAGTGAAACGCTACCAAGCGTCGTGAAGTTATTGTAAATCAAATAACAGTATAATATGGACAGTGTTTTTTGCGCTAGGATATCATAGGTCACGATAGCATTAAATGACAGCTAGCCACGGCTACACGGTGGGTTAACTTGCTAGCGTTAAGTTATCTAACAAGCTAACGTCAACGTTAGCTTCAGTAGAAGTCTCACCTGGAGAACCTCTCGCAGTTGTCAGTCACTCGCAGTCCTGCGGCGGATGTTGTCCGTCCAACCGGGGACAGAAAACTCTTCAACAACTCCCAGACATTTCAAATAAAGTTGTCAAAGATACAGTTAGCCATTTAGCGCTGGCCGTTATTTCGAATCCAAGAAAGACATTTGTTAGCTTAGCCAATGCTAGCTAAGATGAGCAGTGTGGCTGCTGGGTCCTGCCGGTGTCATCCGGACAGTAGGCCCTGATCCTCGGGGTTTCCTTGTCCGTTCGGTTGCCCCTGCACGGGCAAACCCGGAGCTGTCAACGCTCTGAAGCCTCACGGCAAGTGTTGTCACATTTCTGCTCCACTCGGTTCTCCTATTAACATAAAAGAGCGATGCAACGTTCTACACCGGGAGAAGTTACGCCACCATGTTAGTCCGTTGTTTAATTAAAGAGCATTACTCCCCTGCAGCAAGTTCGCAAAGGGCCCCAGGGAGGGCTTTATATGCCTCACATGCGTTATTTCAACAGATAATGTGAGCTGCTCAGGTCAGAATCACCCTCAAACAGCACAGCGAGGCTGGTAAATCCAACAGGTGCCTCGGGGACCCCCCAAAATAACGGGCTCATTAGTGGTGATTTGACTTGTTTAGGAATTTCCAACATATAAGTAAGCTGCACTATCAACTGGGTCCAGCCTTATTATGACACACAGATCCCCCTGTCTTGTTGAAGAGGATTGCATAACAGTCTCGTACTTGTTTTGCAATTTTTTCATTGGGACAAATCTAGTAGGTCTACTTTTTCGGTGTTATATTTGCATAGATGGGACATCTTTCCAAACTGTTTCAAACATGTAATTTTCTTAGAATATGAATACTGGCTAGTCTTTTGTGCAACTTCATTACTGTCTTGGGTGCTTTTTTTCTGCACTGCTTGGAAGCTTGGATCCTATAGATTATTATAATTTATATAATATAAATTAATCTGCAAGTAGCCCACTTACCTCCATTTAGCCTACGAGGGAATGTTTAATCTGACATCAACATCTTGTATACTGCAGTTGATTTTTTTGTTCACGGCCAGTAGCTTTACGCTTTACTTGCAGTTTGAGCCCAGGAGATGGAAGCAGAGCGTTGCAGACATAAAGCAATACAATCATTTATCACTTGCAGATTATTATCATAGATAATAGAGAGTCATTTCACAGTCCACACAAGGAACTGCACCAATTGTAGTAAATTAATAGTTTATTCCAAACCCCAGCATATCTCTAGCAAGGCACTTGATTGAAGACATTTAATGTTTCCATAGTTTAGCCATGTACCACAAACGGGACATCCTGTTTCCATTGTTAACAGGAAATACAGATGGTTTTGCGTAACATTATTTCACCTTTTGTTCTTCCACTGACTTAAGGATCAGGTCGCCAACATCACTTGTTTAAATGTATTTTCCCACTAAGCTCCAGTGGTATGCAGTCATGTGGATAGCAGTGTTTCTTACCTTTCTCTGTACCAGATATTCAGAGTGAACTACAGATATCCAGAATAAATAACACTTCCGGACTTTGGAGCTTCAATATGTATAATTATATGGGCAAATAAAATAAAAACGACTGATGACTGGTGGCGTACTCATGTAAGTGGGCTTTTTTGTTTGTGATTTGAGTAAACCTGCACAAGAGGTACAAAATCAATATCTCATTTATCATTGTAGTATAAATGGGTGCATATGACAAATCCCTGATCAAATTTGTCCTCAGAATCATTTCCACATATTTACAAACAAATAATTATTAATGATTGTCTTGTGACAGTAGAGGCCTGCACATGATTCGGTGCCTTTCCAAAAGGAAAAAGGTCCTTTATTATTCATCCTCTTTTCTGTTCAGTAGCATCACTCTTTTCCTCTGTATGTGATGTTTGTGAAGGTAGATGTGGCACCTTTGTAGAGAGGATTGTGTCCCTGTTGACAAAAAGAAATGCAATCAGTCAAGGTGAGTTAACGGACACAAAGTATGTAAGAGATGCTTTCACCCGATGCTTTGGGATTCTAGGAAAATGCCTAAAAGTCACTTTATTAGCCCAACATTTTTGGACACACATATTGGACTTATCGATCAATGTGAATGTATGGACCTATTCAATTGTGTTACATACTGCACTTCTTTGGTTTCAGATCTGTGGGATTTGGGTGCTTTTTGAGGTCACAGAAAAGGTTGTTACCGGTAAAGGCTCATAAGCGTTGGCTAATTTATACTGTGCCCTTCCGCTGGCGGTCTTTTGTTCTGCTCGCAGGAACAGCATGCCACAAAATAGTAAAAAAAATACATCTCCAGAAAACTAGCGACCAAGACTGTGTGTGTGGCCTTTTATGTGTGAGAGTGTGTGGGTGTGAGGATGCAAAGAGTAGTGTGTGTGTGTTTGTGTGAAGATGCCATGCCATGTTTTATGATTTAGTTCAAGTTTTTCCTCAAACTAAATCTGCAATATTTTAAAAATTACATTTAAAAAAATTTTATTCCTAGGGTTAGCAAACCGCCCGTCAGGGCATTTAGTGGCCTTGTGCTAAATTCACTGACCGTGTCCCACTTGGCTCGAGCGCGTTCTTCCTCAAATTTTGCGAATTCCCGTCTGTCGTGGATGGTGACCAGAAGTTTCCAGATGAGCAGAGCCGCTAAGCCGAGGAACAAGATGGCCCCTGCCACCGACAGCAGCAACACTAAAATATCTGGACCTTTGGGGCAGTCTGGTTTGAAAAAAAGAAGCGATAAAGCAATGAGTAAAGTGCCGATGAAGATTAAGACAGGAGTCCGTAGGAAGTCGGATTTCCTCAGGTGGTTTCCTCCCTGTTTTGAGGATGAATCCTCTGGATACCATTCGTTTTCAGATTTAAAGGAATAGGCATTTTCTACTTGTCAAGCTAGTGGGATTATGCAATAAAAGGCTGTACAAGAAATTGATTCACTTTCCTAATTGTTTCAACACTGCATGTTTGTCTGTTTATCCAACCGTTTGACTGTGTGATCCCTCTAGTGCATAAGTGCATCGTCGTGTTGGAGAACGTCGTGGGGCAACCGAGGTGAACCTTTACAGCTGACATCCAAGCTTCACTCATCTCTCCTCATTCCTCCCTTTCCCGCTCTTTAACTGACCCCTAAAGCTGCCGACATTATGCTTTGCATGTAAATTATGTAAGTATCATGTAAGTATGCTGCTGCAATATTTTTTCTTTAACATTATAGATAACTTTTAATTTAAGCGCCTTTTCACCTTTTGCTAAACAACCTCATGTTTCCTTTAAAAAAACGTCTTTAAATGTTTCTTCGGCTCACTTAGTCTCCCCTCTCTCTCTCTCTCTCTGTCATTATTTCCTCAGGAGGATACGTAGAGTCAGCAGCTTCCCGAGAGGAGCTGGGCAACTGTTTACGGCCCTCTTTGACACAGCGGGGTGCGCTGAGTTCAAGGCAAATGTTGGTGTACTTCTTTGCTACCCAGTTGCGCCTAAATTAAACACACACATTCATTAAAGGCAGACCCTGGGGCAGACTTTCTCTGCGGGCACCGGCGGTCATTAAAGGCTGTTTTACCACACCACGCTCTTTCTATTTGGCCGCTTAACAAGCAGATGAAGGGCAGGCAGCGGGAAAGTGAAAAAAAAACAACATAAACTCATTCCACAAAGCGAGGAAGTTTGCTTATTTCGGTGGTGAATGTTTGGTTGTAGATTGTATCTGTCCAGCACTGGCATTTACTATCTATCTGTGATTGTGGCTACTCATCTAATTCCATGCGTTCATTTAACCATATTAATAAGTTGGAATAACTTTTAAACAAAACAGTGACACATGAGCTTTGCATCAAATGATTACGCCTAACAAACAATTGCATGCTTGCATATCCAGCTAGTTGCAATGATGTTAGTTTAATTATGAAGGATTATAAATAATAAAAAGTCAAAATATTGAATAGTGCATTGAGTATGTGCTTGTTACAATCATGTATGCATGTACAGTGTGTTCCTCTCTCACCGGGCTCTTTGACCACGAACAAGATCGACTTGCCGCTGGTGTCTTCATAATACTGGAAACGCTCCACGCAATCGTCCTCGTCTTTGTACGTGCAGTTCACAGCATTAGTATCATGGAGCACTGCATGGAAAATGGAGAGAAAATGGTTTATCAGTCAGTCAAGACCAAATCTTCAAAAGCAACGTAACAGATGTTTTACTCAATCAGTTAGCTGACGTTTATAACTTGTGTTCTGCTTAAGCAGTTCTCACCTATTTTATCCACAAGCACAATCTCATCCTTGCAGATCCGAGAACAAGTGTTGCCATCAAAAAGTGTCCCCCTCTTGAAATGTTTGCACTCCACACACTCCCTTTTAAAATGAAAAAAAAAACAAAAAAATGCATCACTCCATCCGCTCATTTTTGAACTGCTTCTCCGGACACAGAAATGAATTGCGACCATGTTCAGACCCACTTCTTCATGGTGCAGGCGTCCGGACAGGTGGGGCACTTGTCGCACGTGGCTCCGTAGGCACCCGGCTGGGTGCACTCGCAGGCCCCGCACGCACACTGGCCCCTGCCACTGCACAACAAGCCCAGGTGGGACATGCAGGTGTCGGTGCGTCTGGAGCAGTTACAGTTGTCACCCTGCCAGTCCGGCGCACACTGGCAGAAGCCGCAGTTACAGACGCCGTGGCCTAGAAGGTAATATACAAATTATAGATGAGCTAGTATTACATTGTTTACTGGTTATATATTAATTTACCCCCCCTCCATCCCCAAGGAAGGGTGGCATATGGAGCAACAGCAAAAGAGGAAGAGAAGTAAATAAACGAGAAGAGGACTATATGACCAAATAAAAAATTCTGTGTCTGGGTGTGGTTGACGTTGGGAAACAGGGAGGAGAAGGGTCAGCGAGTGTGCACATTTTGTTTTAAACCACCTGTGTTTGGTAGGCTAGTATGAATTACACATCAGTCCAGATATATAGTTTATAAACCATTTGAGACATATTTCTCATTTCAAAATTCATTCTGACGAATGGAGCAACTTTGGGACTTTTGGGAACTGGGAATTGAAATAAAGAGTTGTGGGTTAGAACAGTAATTGTAAGGTCATTATGGGTACAGAATGACTGGGCGTGACTGGCTAAAGGCAAATATACCACAAGCCTTTGTCATACTTACATGCATCTGTAATTCCCTGTCCCTATGATGGGTTTTACCTTTATTTGAGAATATATGTGGTTTCTCTCTGTTTTGAGCAACATACATTTTTCTTTAAACTCAAAATTCAACATTTACATTTTACGTTTACCCTGTTTAGACATTTCTCAGCTCTGGAAATGAGAAATTAGTCATATTTCTGCAAGCGTTAGAGACCTAAAAATCAGTGTTTGCATTTGTTTGTTGTTTTCCTTGTCTGGGTATCGTGTTCATGCAAGAGAGTGACAATGCAGAAAACTTATCACGGCAAAACAAAGCTCATAAACAAAGAGACAGGAAGCGGCTTGGAACGGTCTGATTGAACAAAGGATGATCCAAGGGTTAAACTGCCGTTACCACTTGACCACAGGACTGCCGGCCTCTAATTTGACCATTCTGTGGGGGGAAGAACATAGGCCGCGGCCCTCGCACTGAAATAGGTATTTCATGACAAAAGCAGACCATGTTTTACACACAGAACATTTCCAGTTCTCTCCCACTCGGCCCTTTTCCAAACATTTATTTTTAGCCTTATTACACCACACCAGGCAATGCGCAAGCAGAAAGGTATTTCCATGTTTCTCTAGGTGCTGTGGAGAATCCAAATAAAGCATTTCTATGCTACAGCAGCCGAGGGGAGGGGGACAAGGGCGGTGGTTGCGATGTCTGATATATGAGATGTGATTAGGTGATGAATTTAGGCAGAAAACGTCCCTTGAGTAGTATATAATTCCCAGTTGATGTAATTTCATCACTAAGAGTCATTGTTTCTACAAGAGAGAGGCCTATCGATTAGGACTCCCACAACACTGTCCCTTTTGACTTCCCTTGGTATTCTTTGTGTCTCCTGCCGTCCCCCGACATCTAAATCCTGCTATCGTTTCACAAAATTTAATTTAGAAAAGTTTTGTTTAGAGAGTAAGAAGAAAAGACTGTTCCCGGGTTTCAAGATGAAGCAAGGGAGCAGTTTATCTTATCATGAATATAATGTAGATTTAGTATACCTGCTTTCTCCCGTTAACAGCTTAATGCGGTATTAAACTAACCGGCAGCTCACATTAACGATTAATATTTACTCAACAGATAAAAGAATGTTATTGACTGTTTGGTTGACAGAAGATTGATACCCCTCATAATTGCAGGTGATGGATATTGTTAACTTACTCCCTAAGAAAGAATATTCCCTAAAATGTTAACTTACATTATTGATGGGATTCATTGCAATATATAGTGCCATAACCTTTAACTTTCAGTAGTGAAAGCAAATTAATTACTATTAGGAAGAAGACTGACAGCATGGGCATATGATAACACTTTTTTTGTTTAACCTTTTTTATTTTAATTTCTATTTTTTTTTATTATTATATTACTTAATTATTACTGCTGCTCTTGTATTGTATTTTTTTTACCATATGTTGCTCCTGCGTTCCTGTAAATTTCCCCATTGTGGGACTAATGAAGGAATATCTTATCTTATCTTAACACAGCTAGTGACAGACTGAAAAGTTGCTCATAAAATCGCACTTCCAAAATCTTCAGGGAAACATCATCTGCTATGACATCTGGCTATGAAATGTCTTTTTTAAATACGAGGAGGAGGATCATGAAGTCATAAGTTAAAGCTCTTAACAATTTGCCAACACAAACTCTGACTGATTAAAAAACCTCAACCGTGATAAAGAAACCCTAAAGAGTCCCCTCTGACCGGAGAGAGATAAAATGCAACTTGGCTGACAAAAGCGTGCAACCCGAGCTTACACTCGCACACGGTGCACTCACCAAACCACATGTTCATTGTGAATTGAGCCCGTGTCCCGAGGGGAGGGGTGTTATTATATGTAATTCTTCCCAGATGAGGTGGGTGGCAAGTCAGTGTGATGAAGGGGGACTGCTTACCCCCGACGGCAACGGGCCACCGCAGACACACACAATGTTCATGACTTTCAGTGGCCTTTTTTACCCTCCGTCACCTTTGTTCCCATATTGTGCAAGGTGAAAATAATTTTAATGGATTAGTTAGTTAGTTTAACATTGTGTGAAATACGCTAATTGGCTTTCTTTGTGCAGATTAGTGAAACAATCTTTCACTTTCTGATCAAATTTGGAAGAAATTCTCTCCAAAATCTATATTTTCGAAAAATCCCCGTATGCACGATGAAAAAGCACTAAATGTCTGTTAAATGTAAATTTAGAACAAACGGCGAGTTACGTTAATTTGCTTGGTAATGAAAAACAATTATCAGTCGCATCCCGAGTTAATTCTAAAAGAAGCTCACGAGACGTCACCTGAGCACAGCTCCCCCTTGTAGCGCAGGCAGTTGAAGTCGTCGCACTCACACAGCTTCCCCCAGACTTTTCCAAAATCACTGCCGTGGCACACGCACTGGCCGCACACGCAGTCGCCGCGCCCGCTGCAGATGGCCGACTGAGGCCCCCCGGAGCCGGCGGGTCCGCTGCAGCGGTCCTGCTCCGTGGGGTCGTAGTCACCCTCCGCGCACTCGCAGTGGGGCCCCAGGCGACCCGGGTGGCACAGGCAGATGCCACACTCGTAGGTGCCGTTGCCGTGGTTACAGGCGGGGCTGTCGGGCTGGGCCTCGGCCTGGCACTTGCAGTCGCACTCGAAGTCGACGGTGATGGAGAGGGAATCCTTGAAGCCCACCGGCTTGATGATGAAGGATTTCTTCTTCTCTTTGGGGCAACCCCGAGCCCGGGCCTCCACGCTGAAGGACACCTGCGTGTGAGAGGAGGGAGGGAATTGTGAGAAAAGTTCAAACGTGCTTTGAGACCTTTCTTTAATGGGTTCCGTTATTGTTCATCTAATAGCCGTACGCATGGTCTAATCATTGTTGGTGAAAACCGTGCAAAGAACTGATACGGGGAATTGCCTCCATATGTATTTTGTCTAAGTAACTGTTCAAGGAGCGCTGCATCAAAATCTGGTAAATGTCCAAAAGTAGGCAGTTACTACATGGGGAGAGACAGCCATATATGGCAAGAATAAGAGAGGCTGAGACAGAGAGAGAGAAATGTGTGGAGGTCAAAAAATCACCTGGACTGAGGGAAGAACCGGGACGAAGAAGACGCTGTGATAAAGAAGAAGCCAAAAAATAAATGAAGGAAGAGGAGAAGTCTTTAAGCAGAAATGGCAAAAGATTGACAGAAAGACAGGAAAACATCCTTTAAGAAAGACAAGCTCCGAGGGAGTGTTGATCCAATTTTTTCCATCATCTGCTATGACACCACGAGGAGATGGGGAAAAACCTACTTTAAAGACACGCAGATGTAGCAGCAAGAAGGGAAATGGAAAGAGGTGAAAAAAGAAGTTGAAAATAGTATATGGAACTCACAACATAGTTATTTTTGCAACAAACACATGCTTATGTCCACTGAAGACAGGATATGTTGGTTGTGCAAATGTCTTTCACACTAATATTTCATCCTTAAAACAAGCATTGCATCTGCTCAACATGTATGTCATCATGCAAACGGTTTTTTAAATAATTTCACCGATCGCATCATTAGTATTATCGGCAAATAATACTCTAAAGCTGAACGTGAGAAGTGTCTTGTTGAGAAGAATTACCTCATTACCATGTACGTCTAACAAAATAAGCAGTGAGAGTATTTTAAGTGGGAGGGCAAGTAGTCATTTGTCCAGTTATGTTCACCTGTTTGAGTTGTTAGATGAACAATTGTTAGAATGAATGATCTATTTATTTATTTTTTTGCCTTTTTTTGTGAAATATTAAATCTGTTTACATTTTCAGGCCATTAAAAACTCAAATATTACAATAATTTGGTCAAACTGCTGGTGAGTTATTTCCACAGTGATTCCATGACCTGCGTTGAGGGTCGCAAGTAGAAACTATCTCACTTTAAAGGGGATTGCGAGCCCAGAAATGGACCTGCGGGACGTGGACTGACCGTGTCTCCGATCTTGAGCCCGGAGCAGGACTTGAGGCCAGGGATGACCTCGCCATTCAGACAGGTGGCGTTGAAGGACAGGGACAGCTCCTCCGGGACGCCTTGCAGCTCCAGCTCCACCTTGGAACGGATTTTCTGGCAACACCGATGAAGGAAAGCGGCGCGAAACACATGGGCTTGTTTATATAAAGGCTTGCACCACACTGCCATAAAAGGAATGTTAGGTCTTAATACTTAAAAAAAACAAACAGATTCAAATAATTTCCCCATCCTATATTTGTGCGCATGACGAAATTCCCTACTCTATACAATCATTTGGGTGTATAGAATTCATCAGTCATAGAATTGCATAGGTTTACACGTTTGTATGTGCAGCTGTACACACATCAAAGTTACAGCCAGGATTGAACTAAAAAAATGACATGCAGTAAACTTGTTCTCCGCATAATAAACCCAAATATGTCTCCCACGTCAGGTTCACACCTTCTTAGACTCGACCGCATGTATGACTCACACACTGTGGGTTTTTGTGTCAGCAAAACATGCGTCACCTCCTGAAACACTGTCTAGTCTAAGGTGTGTGTGTGTGTGGGGGGGACTTACAGCGTAGGCCTTCAGTATGAGCTGGATAACGTTCCCCGAGTCGTTGGACAGGGTTCCAACTGTGGTTCCGGGAATCAGCTCACTGTAGTTCTAAAGGACCGAGAGACAGACTGTCACGCTGTCGATCTACACAGGCACAGTCAGTCTGCAGTTGCGGTTACTTCCCCAATATTGTGACAACTTTAAAATAAATGTAATTCAATTCCCCTTTGAATAAGTCCAAACTTTTTTTAAACCAGTCACATAGAGCATTTTGACGCTCTTAAAATACAGATGCGACAGTTTTTTCTTTGTCACCCAGTTCAAACGCACACAGCAGGCAGAAAGTACAAACATGGGTGTGTGCAGCAGATGTTCCTCCATTAGGTCACAGCGGTTGCAACGGTTTCATGGTATGAGATAGTTGTAAGAGTTGTCCCAAATGTCCCAAACGTTTATTTTTTAAATGAAACGCCCTTTACTGTAAAGGCAAAGGTGTCATTTCTGGCCCAATGATGCTGAATTGTTTTCCTTTAACCTAAACTTTATTTTCTATCCTTGCTGTGTCTTAACAGCGTATTATTATATTTGATTCATTTTGAATTTCCATTCCTCCAAGTATCTCAGTTTGAAACCAATCCGGTTTATTTAAACTACAGTGTAACAAGATGAGATGATTACCAATGATGGGTAAAACGTTTGTTCAGTTTACTCTCTTGAACTGACCTGGTAAAGAGGAACCACAGGGTTGGTGACGGCAAAGATCAGATTGATGTTGTTCTCCGACGTCTTTTCTGTGATCAGAGCCAAAGACGGGTAATCCTGTGTTCGGCCAAACCGCACGGCGGTGTTAGCACTTGCATACGATCTTTTATGATTCTCTATCGTACCGTCTGTGCACCGAACACCCTTTCACAGTGCACACTAACCATGGTGGTGGACATGCTGTACATGTTGTCAGAGTTGAGGTGGCACTTCCCGTCGTTGGGCCGCACGATTCCAGCCAGACGACCATCCAGAGCCATGTGGGTCTTAGCGTCCGAGGTGAAGATCAGCAGGTGGGATGCACCGGGGCGCCAGCCGATCTCCTCCTAGCTCCCATCAGACCATGAAACAGCAAAAAGGAAGGAAGCGTCGCAACTTTTTTATGTGGGATTTCATCTGGTGGAATTCATGCTATTCAGTGTGACAAAAGAGACAAAGATTGTAGAACAAAATCAAAGTTGTGTGAGTGGGCCTCTCCACCTTGCACACGGCAGCCTGGATGATGGCATCAAAGCCTCCCTCCGGGGCATCTCGGTTCCTGGACACCATCTGCTTCTTCACTTCCTCGGTGAAGCGGCCGACCTCCTCCGTCAGAGTCAGGACGTGTTTGTAGCCAAACTGCGGCAGGCAGGTGGTGTTAATGCTGTCAATGAGAGATACGACCTTTGAGAACAAGAACTTAACCTAAAGGCAGCTCCTAATGGACGCCCCTATTCTCTCCGTATTTAATTCTTTAAGTCTTATCTTTTATCCAAACATTCCTGGAGGCTGCAGCAAACTGTGTGTAAGGTGGGAGAGAAAATAACCCCCGGGAGACCTTAAACCACCAAATCGTCACCCGAGACCCAGGGAGCCAGTCACGGCTGTTTGCCTTTGTTGCCGGTTGATTCGGAGGAGCTGACCGAGCACTAGCGAGCCGCTCTGAGCCTTTAAACATGTGCTTGCAACGCTGCGTTTAAAAGGTGTCCTCACCGAAATGATGTAATCTGCATAACGAGGCTAGTTCCCATATGCAGACATAAACAAGCAGTGAAATCAACACCAGTGGGTACCTACTAGGAATGTAACACATTGTTAGAACACAGGCACAAAAATAAACGTTCCATTACAAAGAAATCTGGGTTCGGTTTAGGTTACAGACATGGCTTTGTTTGTGTTGTCCAAGCTCCTGTGTGTGTCTTTTACCTGTAGCAGGGGTTCTTCACGGCCTGTTTGGGGGAGATGTACATGTAGGGCGATATCGGCTTGTCCACAAAAGCTCCAAAGCCCATGCGGAGGTTGCTGGTGGTGCGGTTCATGGCCTCGGCCAGGCCTTTTCCCAGCGTCCTCAGGCGGAAGAGATCGTCATTCATGGAGTAGGAGAGATCCATGAGGTAGTAGAGATCAACGGGGTAGTCCTCCACTTGACGCACCTTCACTGTGAAGCGCTTTGCATCATCTTGGGAGTAGGATACAGAAATACCATTTTTTAAACAGGTATACTTGAAATGAACTTCTCTCTCTGACTCTCTCTCTTCAGTATGACAAACAGAGAAGCCACAAACTCAGATGCTAAACTCCACCTGGCCTGAGGGTGATCTGTAGCTTCTGGGGCTGTATCTGGGTGACGTCTTGCGTGGCCCCCGCTGCCTTGTTGCTGAGGGGCCGGTCCTCAATCACCTGCAGTTTGCTGGCCGGAGACTCCAGAGCGGACAGGGCGCAGCCCGCCGCCGCCAGGTTACTCTTCAGATCACAGCGGGACGAACTGGCCGCCCCCTGGCCGAAGTCCTGGTGGAAGAGTCATTTACATTATACGTAGAAAAGGCCCCTCCAGCAAGTTCCTCTTCTGCTTTGTGTTTTAATGAGTTGGAAATAGAAAAAACAAATCTGGAGCGAAGAAGCAATCCAACATCTAAACTGGATTTAAAGGCAAATCCTATATGAAGTCAGTCAGTCCCTTTCGACCGAACCTAAATTGTGTTCTCAGTTTAAATCTTCACAACCAAGACAATGGCGCCTATGACGAGATCTGTGCCCCCCGAGCCCCGGCTGGCAGACGGCTCGTTGCTCAAAAGAAATGTAGTGGAAAAGGAACCCACCTCCTGGAAGCACCACGCACAGCTGGGGTGCACAGCCAGACATTGCTTGCATGTGCTGGCACCTCTGGAGGTGCAGACGTTTAAACCTGAAACCAAAAGCTGGGTTAAGTTTTTCCAAATTACAGAAATGATTTAATGATAATGTTCGCCCATGTGTGGAAGTTACCTGTTGTTAATTATTTGTTGTGAATAATTCTAAAAGATACTTTTTGGATGTTGCATCAAAGTTATATTTCAGTAGAAAAATGAAGACCAGAGAGAACAATACAAACTGTTTTAGAGAAAATAACATTTTAGTTAAATGAAACCCATCTGAGAAGTTTTCAGATATTGGATATGTAATTACAAACAATTCATAACACACAAAATTCATTCCATTCCAGCATAATAAGCAAAAATGTTCCTCAATGGCAGAAAAAGAGAATCCAATTGTAGATCAAGAACCCTGAGACCCGAAACGTGAGAACTCACCGCACACTCCTGTTATTCCAGTAAACATCAAAACGCGCATCCATAACACCCCTCGCGTCGGGAGAGCACCCATCCTGGTGCGCGCACTTAGGACGCGCCGAGGAGCTGTGGTGGAAGCCCTGGAACGCGAGAAAAAACTGCGTTCATCAGCAAACTACACAACTCCAAATAGAGTAAAATGTTTCAACCCCACCCGCCCCCTCTGCTCCCGCATCTCTCATTATTATACCAATAAGTGTGGTGGGCGGGGAAAGCGCAGCATCCAAATGTCCTGATTTTTTTTGTTTTTTTGCGCAGGGCAGGTCCGAGCATCGAACATGTGACATACCGGTGTGTTTTTGGCCACTGTAGTATGTGTTTGAAAGGTATTGTCACTTAGGATATACGGTAATAACCAAATAGCCTAAGTTATACAACCAGTTCTAGTACTACTTTAAGTCAATTATACGTTAAGACAGTAAAAAAAAAACATGAAATTATTTCCGCATGTGCTCAATGTAAAAATATAAACAATGAATGATCAGAAGCTGTTGTAGATTTTAATTAATTTTTAAATTTTTAGCTTTTCTAATTAATAAAATCAATTTTATGTTTCAATAAGTCATTCATAACGATACATTATATTCAAAGAATATACTTATTTCGGAAAAGCGAAATGAAGTGTAATTTTTTAGTGAAAAATGCAGGTTTTGGTGTCAGGACCTCTGAATTAAGATAGTTTTCTCTTTATTACCATATTGAAGGCATGAATTGTAAAAAAAAGTCTATTTGAGATTTGTATTAGTATACACTGCCCGCTAGTGGACACTACCCCTAATAAAAGAGTGAACTATCTATCTTGAAAGAGCGCCACCAGTCCAATGGCACATCGTTGTGGCGGAAAACGGTACTGCATCTGATTTACGATTGATGAGAATTCCTTTCGAGGTGACAATGTCTCGTATTTCCTGTTAACAAAAAACAACAACCTATAAACAGAACTAAACTGACTACTGGCAAGGACAAATGTCATTCAGTCTGAGGGGCCATCTCACCAATCAGTGCATAAACTGACAACCGTGACATTTTTTCTTGGACTATGTCTCGTATAGTAATACAACTATATTTATACAGCGGTTTTGGTGATTACCCATAATTCCATGGGAAAGCTTCAGCCTCTTTCAGACAAAAACATTTACTACTAATAGTATAATGTGGAATCCGTGCTGTTACAAACTGCAGCTCACACAATTCCTTCACCCGGACTTTAGTCAGGATATTTGGGTGATATTTGGATTCCATGAATTTGGGGCCAACGCCAAGAATGTTGTGTGACATTTTGTTCCTGTTCAACAATCACGCCGTATTTGCATCAATCGATTGCTTCAGTGAGCAGAGCGCAGGCATGGTGGGAAGTGGAGACAACCAGTCCAATGCGGCCCCCTCACTTAGGCGGCTTGTCATTCAGAAGCACCGTGATGTGAGAAACATCTTAACATCTTGAGGGAAATAGCAGAGAAGCACATTTTTATGGAATGACGCCAGACAGTCTTTCTTTTCTCCTGCTTTCTCACCATCCTTGTTGTTGTTATTCCTATTCTTTTTGGAAAGTTCTCCTTCCTCTTGAGCCATGTTACTCAACTCCCCATCTGTGACTCTTTCTCTTGCTTCACGTTTGCCCTTCCTGCTCCCTTTCTTTTCGTTGAAACTTCAACAAGCGGTTGCACAACGCGCTGTGAGGGAAAAGCTTCTCCAGCAGGTTTGATTGACAGCACCCCTTGCATTCTCTGCGCCGCGGTAAACGTGTGTGTGTGTGTGTGTGTTTTGTGGAGTTGCATGCAACTTGGCATCAACTTGTCTATTTTAAACGTTTAATTGCAGCATTTAGTCATTCTGACCATGTGTACTTGTGTGTGTGTGAGAGAAAAGTCAAGGAAACGAAATAAGAAGTCGAAAAGGTTGCGAAAGAGCTCTCACACTGATTCATCTGAGGCGTGCAGGCCCACGTGTGCGCACGCACACACACACACACACACACACACACACACACACACACACACACACACACACACACAGGGCTTGCATGTTGACTTAAGAGTTAATGAATGGATGATTGAGGGCTGCAGGGGTTGGGGAGAGCACTGCCGTGGAAACAACCCCTCTTTCCCAGGAGGGGAGTATAGAACAAGAGTTGGAGACAAAGAAAGGGGGGGGAAATGGGTGTCTCAGAGACAGGATGAAATTCAGATTGTGTGTGCACAGCGCCGAGGGGGCTGCGGGGCAAACTACTTCAAGCAGAAGTACTCTAAGCGGCAATAAAGCAAGTAGCGTGTACTTGACAAGCACCCAAAAGGGACATAGAGAGGGAGAGAAGCAGCTGTTGGAGGAGGAGAGTGAGACAAAGAAGGAGCAGGGGGCCGTCCTTACTTGCTCTTGTCAGTGTGAGAAGTGTACGAGGGAGGAGGAACAAGGAGAGGGAGAGCAAGGGCCAGAAGAGGACCGGGAAGCAGCGAGGAGCATGTTTGCTGTGTGAGGAGATCAATATAATTCTGCTTTTGCACACACCAGTCGCGGGAAAGTCCCCCTCTCCGGACGCCTCTCCTCTGCTCCCGCGAACGAACGACTTGGGTCGAAGGGACCATGCAGCGGGGGCGGATTGTTCCCCGGGTCGCCGCTCTCCTGCTGGGGCTGATGGGGCTCCTGGTGCGCGGATCGGACTTGCAGCATCACCGCTACGAGGACATGGTGCGAGCGCTGTTTGCAGTGCAGAGCGAGTGTCCGTACGTCACGCGCATTTACAGCATCGGGCGCAGCGTGGAAGGTCGCCACCTCTACGTGCTGGAGTTCAGCGACAACCCGGGCATCCACGAAGCACGTGAGTCGTTCAGGATGAGCGTGCAGTGAGAACAAAATATCTCATTCTGCAAGTTCAGTCTAAAACCACTGCACAGTAGGGGATCACTCCTAATAGGAGATATGCCACAAATTCCGAGTCAATATATTATGTGAATTGAATAAAAATGTGAAAATCAGTGTACATGAGTTACAATTTCTATATGACAGCAAGTTCAAACTGCATCTGAGGCTGAGAAAGAGCCTGATACAATGTTCTGTGGGGACAAAGGTTGTAGATTTGTATTGATTTTGGATTTTCAAATGCACAGGCTGATACATGTAAGTGGCTTTGTTTTGCACTTCTTGCTGTGGAGAGTGAGAACATAGCTGGCAGAAGAAAGACCAGTCCGTCTCCGGGGCTCTTGCTTTTTTTCCCTCCATGAGATGAAACGCGAGCTTTTGACTTAGTTTGTGAGTCTGTATTTATGTGAAGAAGACGAGGAGTTGTTATCCCCAGCTGCCTTCTTTGATAAACATTTGTGGCGGGAATACTTGGAAAACTCAAAGTGAAAATGAAACGGCGAAAAAAATAACAATGAGTGAAAATCTGTGATTCATTTCAATTATTGCCGTCTAATTCAAAGCTTTAAACCTCAATCCCGGCTGTTGCCAAAAGCTTTTATTGTCCGCCCCCCCCCCTTTCCTAACCACTGATTCAGCTCTCCCGGTGTGTATTTTCGCTTATCGGCGGCAAAGGGAAACCACTACCCTTTTCAATGTGAATTTTTTATGGAAAACGAGTAGAAGGAGCGCACTGTTTTGGGCAATTTAGAAGTTTTTTCCTTTCTAAATGCGAGATCTGGGGAGACCCCCCCCCCCCCCCCCCATACTTAACTACAACAGGGAATGCTTTTTTGGCTGCAACTGAGCTTGCATTTTTCTTCTGCATTTGCACACGTAGGGGCTTCCTTCAGTAGAATAGAAGGATGTACGCCTTTTCTTTTGCGAGATGGCCAAGGCTGAAAAACAGGAACTGTGCACTTCATGGAGGGGAGTGACCCGAGGTCTTGTCTGGGTCAAACCCCTTGCACCTTTTAGGAAGTTCTCGTCTTTGGCATGCTGCTGAGTGTGTGTGTTTCTTAGGAGCTGCATGCTTGAGCCAACGCTGTTTTCTGAACCCGAGGCCAGTTGGCCCTGCGTTAAAGGAAAAGAGGTGAATTGCAGCCCCCAAGCTGCCATTTGGGGGCCTGAAGCAATTAGTGAAGGTTGTGCATACATTTGGAAGTATCGGCTCTTCCGCACGATGCCCCACCGCCCAAATACCTACAACTACTGTTTTCACATGGGGAACTAAAGTGCAAAAAATAAAATAATAATACGGTGGGACATTTGGTAAAAGAAACATGATTTTTCTTCATCAATAAGCTAAAGTGTCCAGCGGTGGTTCCGTGTAGATGCATGCATGGTCCTTCGTTCTATCAAATGCTGCAGCAGTGATTAATGAAGCGACCCAGCGACCCTGTGAAGGGAACCCTTCACAGAGAGGGACACTGTTTGGATAGGCGGCTCACCCAATCAGTGGCAGATACCCACAGGAATGCCAGATGATCTTATCCAAATAATCCAATCAGACTCTCTCCTCAGAGCTCACCTTTGTCAGAAACGTGAGAAGTACCGCATCTCAGTAGCTTCTCACGTCGGCCTCAGGCTGGTAGCTCAAGGCTACATTAGCATAACGCACGAGAATCTGTGAGGGAACTGTCAAGTTGCAATGGTTGTCCCACTCAATGAGCCCACTGTTTTCTCAGAAGAGTGGGCTCACATGTGTGTGTGATCAGGCAGTCATTTAAAATGTAAAGCTCTGCAGCTCCGCGTGGCTTTTTTTGACCTCCGCCTCCTCACTTCCTCCCCAGTGGAGCCGGAGTTCAAGTACGTGGGGAACATGCACGGCAACGAAGTGCTCGGCCGTGAACTGCTCATCAAGTTGTGCCAGTTCATGTGCGAGGAGTATCGGGCCGGAAACCAGCGGATCACGAGGCTGATCCACGACACGCGCATCCACATCCTGCCCTCCATGAACCCGGACGGCTACGAGGTGGCCGCCAAACAGGTAATGTGCACACACCGACAAGAGTTCCAAGCTTCCACTCCGGGCACACCAGCAATTTTCTTTCTCAATTTTCTTTTTTTTTTTCTTCAGCAATCAGTTTCCACGTTCGGGCTTGATTGTGTTCCTGCCAAGGGAAAAATTCCCGACGGAAAACGCAAAAGACAACTGCGAGTTAAATCACGGCGCTCCACATATTGTAACCGTCGCCATCAGATAACATCTAAAAATGAGTGTCTGTTATGCAACAAAGAGCCAAAAGCATGTATTTAATTAAATCTTCCACTGTTTGCTAATGCCTGTAATAATCCCATCTATCAGCTCCATGAGAAAGCCCCTAGAGCTTTATCCTGGAAGGTAATTACATGGGCCCTGAAACAACACCCCACCACCACCACCACCACCACCACACACCACACAAACACACACATGCGCCCAATTGCTTTGAGAGTAATTACATGTCCCGAGGGGGCAAGTTGCAAATGACTGTCCTTCTCGTTGTCATTCAGACGACACACAAACAAAACCGTGTAATTTGTTGCATCCACAGATGTTTATATTAAGCGGCAGCATCTGCACACTTCGCGGCGTTGATTTTGGGTACCGAGTGAGCAACAGCATTTATCCTTCTGCGGCCGCGGCATCAACACTTTTGAGATTTAAGTAGTTTCAGTCAGTCTGTTATTTCAGTTCTCTTACAGCAAGTCAAAGAGTCTGCATGGAAACACTGCGCAAACCCAACAAGACAACAAACAAAAAAGAAAAAAGGCTACGGGATCCTTGCTTCATAGTCAGTAAAGAAGCTCTGTCGGGGCGTCCACTCTTTCCTAACAGGGACGACCAAAGTCCTGACCGATTTATCAATAGTTACTGAGCCATTTCAATCACTGTGCAGCTTTTGGAATGCACCACCCAGTTTTCCTTTTGCTGCTTCCAAGCATTACCAATTCATAGCTCGAAAGACCCCAGTAGCTAAAAACATCATTATTACCCCAACTGCGCTGAAAACAAATAAATAAGGTGACCCAACAGTAGCTGCTGTTTGAGAAACTTGATATTTTGTCTTTTGGGGCCAACAGGGTCCAGAATTCAATGGCTACCTGGTGGGTCGAGGGAACGCCAAAGAAATTGATCTGAACCGGAACTTTCCGGACCTGAACGCACTCATGTACTACTACGAGAAGACCAACGGGCGAAACCATCACCTGCCCCTGCCGGACAACTGGGAGCAACAGGTCAGTGGTCCAAAAACCACGGCGAGAGCGTGCCTGTGTGCGAGAGTATGTCTCATGCTCATGTCATTGTGTAAGGGGCAACTTAGCTGAGTTATCTTGGCCTTTATCGACGCACGGATGTGTGTGTTTGTGTGCGTCTGTATATAGTCTGACCCGTTTGGCTGGTTGTGCTTATTTGACTGTAAAACCTGTATGTATTGCTCCTCAAAAGAGCATAGCTGAAAATATCTTTTAGATGTTAACATGCCACCTTTAAAAAGAAAAGTGGGGTTTGGGTCAAATGTGCATCGCTTCAAAGCTCAGAAAAAGCTTTACAATTTTAAAAGCATGTCAGCGGATGATGACGCAATGAAGAAGTCCTTCACATTTTCACATAGCGACCATACAAGAGGTAGGTATGCACCGTATATGGACGAGACCTTCAGCTTCAGCTGAACATTTTTGTCATTTCGTCACCGCCACGAGAACTTGACCTGACCCACTCTGCGGTCTCATAGTGTGACTGTTACCTTCTACCTTGAGATACGGCGTGACTCAGCACATAACTCGGAGACCTGTGATTCCGTTCAGAAGAGTCTTTTCTTTGCCAAGTCTGTATTTTTCTTTCAATGGAACTTTGAAACGCACTAATCAAGCTTCTTGAAATCCTTCTGCCTTTGCGGAAACGGTCAGATTTTTTGCAACACGTCCTGTCTGTTATTCGTAAGAAAATATAAGAAGAAGACACCTTCTCTACACCGATAATACATATTATTTATTCAGAAATGTGCAGACGTATTGCATTTCCACTTGGCTGCAGAACAATGTCCTCTTGTGTATTTCGGTATGCGCTTATTATTTCCGATCAGCGCAGTGTAGACAATGTAGACAGAAGTGAGGGTGTGGGCTGCCAAACTCCTGCCATCAGTCTGCTGAAAAGTATGTTTTAAGGATTACGGTCATATCTTTGGGCCTCTCTTGTCTGCCGGCTTCTTATCTTCAACGGACGCAACGTGGTTTACTGGGCCCAAGGTCGTTTCTCTTGCACGAAACGAAAAAGTTTTGGAATGTCAAGAGTCAAATATATGTTGTTGAGGGAAAATGTTTCTTATTGGCCCACATATATTATAATCAGTTTTAGAGATATTGGGTAAGTAGGTATATAACTATGTTAATACATCCCTGTAGATGAGGTACACTTCAACAGAGGGAAAGGAGAAGCTAACAGGAGGCCCATGGACAGATATAGTGAGACGCCAACTCGGCAAGGTTGCAAAGATGTGGAAAGGCAGGAGCAACATTACAGGTCATTTATCTGACGCTTTTATCCAAAGCGACAGCGACCAAAGCGACAGGAGTCATCGTGACACTGGGGGATGACAAAGGGTTTAGGACAAAACAATGTAGAGACACCAGCTGTGGGACGACGGTCTCATGTTTGTGTGTAAGGAGACATAACGGGAGGGCCAGCGAGATAGTGTCAGCCGACCGGACTGAGCCAGTTAGTTTAGCATCAACAACCAGATAGAGGGGCAAGTGAAGGACAAGGAGGAGAACAGTGGGGCGACAACAACAGGAGGAGAGCTACGTGGGATAGAAGGGGAGGGCTGGGTTTGTTCGAGTGTTGGTGCTCCAAAAAATCTCTGTGAATCAACTTCATCCAGATCTGCAGTGCGTCCTATGGGTGTGTGTGTGTGTGTGTGTGTGTGTGTGTGTGTGTGTGTGTGTGTGTGTGTGTGTTACTGGAAGTCCCTGGTCTGTGAGGATGTGTGGGTCCTCATCTCGAGTCAGATAGATATAGTCCAGTGAGTTAGAGAATACTCAGAACATAATTGAAACTATGAATAAATGAATCCACAACAATGTAAAAGTATTTGTTTCCATTAGATTATATATTATGGACTAAGCTTGTATGAGGAAGGCATTATTATTTTGGGGATGCTAATATTTAACTTGAACCGAAAATATTATTTTTTACATCGTCAATAAAAAGCTGTAACTCACTTTAAGACGTAGTTAAAATAACAAAGAAATAGGGAATAAATAGATAATGTGATGTTTTAGCTTTACAATTATTATGGTTTGAATAAAAAAAAGGACAAAGTCAGTTCCTTGGGCTCCAAATGTGTTGAGAAAACGAATAGGCCGGTCCTCCCAGTGGCGAGGTGGCTGTCTACCCACATGAATGGCTGCAGAAAGGCAAACACAAAAGAGCAACTGTGCCACTTTTACAGATACCTCATTCATGGTCGGTCGGGATTACATCCTCACAGGCTGCATGAAGCAACAAGCCCCTCGCGGTCGCCTGTAGGCTCATGCTACATTTTAATTAGACAATTTGTGTACTTTCATCCAGCGAGGAATGAGTTTAATAAAAAGAGAGAGATTTTGTTCTAGACTGAATCACAAAACAATGCAGACATTTTTGCTCAAAAGGCAAACACACTGATCTTATATCAGCTGCAATAACTCAGAAACTCCCATTTCATCGCCACATGGGATTGTTCCAAATCCTGCGATTGAAAAAAAAGAAAGAACTGCAGACAACTTGTGTGTGTGCGTGCGGAGAACATCGCTCGTGAAATATGACCTCGTCTGAGTGATCCAGCATATGTGGATTTGAGTGTATTTGCTTAAAATGGCATGATAATCTTTTTTTAATTTCTTTTTTCTACTTTATTCCCTGTGTGTGTGTGTGTGTGTTTGTCCTTCACATGTAACCAAACACCATAGTGACAGCTCAGACTTCAAGCATGCAGGCGTATATATAAAGATCCACATACAATAAACACCTGCCAGTCTCTGAAACAGGAGTCCGCACTTCAAGGCCAGTAGCCTGTGAATGTTCCTCGGCTGGTGCACGCTGTGTTTATTGTCCCACATACCTTATTGCAGGGGAGGCATTGGTCCGTGTCTCTGTGCGTGATGATGTATGGCTGGAAGGGATAGTTGCCGTTGATGGAGGAAACGAATGGCGGAGTAAAGTGGAATTTGAATGGGAGAAGCCACTGATTGGTATTGTCGAGACTACCGTTGTGTTTCCATCCTCGCGGCTCTTACGTTGCATCGCCTTGGAAACCCAGCATTTTCCCCATCCTGATTCCTTCTTCGGTCTGGATCAAATGAGACACACTGAAACGTTTGAGGATCAGGGCGAAAGCACACTGCAAGTAAAGCAGGAAAATCAGTTGAGGGGGGCTTGAGCGAAGCAGTGATTAGGCTGCTTGAAAAGGAAAAAGGGAAATGTTTGCATATGGGGAAGCAGAGAACAACTAGGATTTGTACAGATAACCAGGGGGAAAAGAAAACCAGATGTCTGCAGTCCACTTATGTTGTTTTTAAAAAGTCTGGGATGAAGATGATAATATACAGGCACTAAGAGGGTCTTGGCTTGTTTGATTGGGTTTAAACACTTGAGAAGCACATCGCTGCATTACATCGCAGTGAGTCATACTTTCGATAAATCTCCGTGTTTATGTCATTGTGTAAAAAGGGCCTACGTACCATGTGAGTGCATCAGCCCTAACAGTGTCATCTAAACACTCCACAGGTTGAACCAGAGACTTTGGCGGTCATAAAATGGATGCAGAACTACAATTTTGTCCTGTCAGCCAACCTCCACGGGGGAGCCGTGGTGGCTAACTACCCGTTCGACAAGTCGAGGGACTCTCGCATCCGGGGGAGGAACACGCACGCGGCCACCGCGGACGACAAGATCTTCAGAAAGGTGGGCTGCCGAAAAAAACGATTGACCTCTGACCAGACGGGGCGCGCGTCGAAGCTCCGTCACTGTCTGTGCGTGGTAACAATGGGGACGATTCGTGTGTGATGACAGTTGGCGAGGACCTACTCGTACGCCCACAGCTGGATGCACAAGGGCTGGAACTGCGGGGATTTCTTCGACGAGGGTATCACCAACGGGGCCAGCTGGTACTCTCTGTCCAAAGGTGAGCAAAAGCCGTCTCCAAGCACATGTTGGAGTGCGTCCATTATCCTTCCTGTGCCAAAGGGAGACGAGGCCTCCCCCTGCACCAACGACGGCAGGCGCCAGGCACGGACTTCAGCGTGAATGACACGCCTTGAGGGGCTCGAGAGGCGAGCTTCTCCCGGTGTTGTCATGAAGCCTCCGTGGTGCCTTTAACCTCTTTACCTTCTCCACGCCAACAGCTGCACTCGCCCTGACCGCTCAGTTTAGCTGCTCAAGAATGTAAATGGCACACGGCAGCAGGAACCTCGGAGCCTGCAGGAAAAATTATGAGTCACGGACAGCAGTGTTACTCCTGAAGAAACATTTGAATAATACACCTCTTTGCACTTTTGCATGCACTATGCACCTATTTATCACTGACAGAGGCACCTTTTCATGTCGATTGGACAAGCTGTAGAAATTCAATTTTTAGATATCGAGGGTGTTCTTGTTTTTTGTGTTTTCTTTAAGTTACCCGCTGGGTTGAGTCGCCCTCCGGACCCCAATCGGTTTCATACAGTCCACAAATGGAAAGAAATCCTAATCCTATATAACAAATACATCTATTACCATCTTATGTCCTTCTTGAACCTCTGCCTCCAGTGAAGGTCACACATTTGTTTTTTAACAACCCACTTTTGACACGCACTAGGCCAATATATTTACGGCCTTCCAATCGCTCCGAAAAGAAAAGAAAAAAAGAAAAGAAAAGAAAAAGAAAAAGAAAAAACAAACTCAATTTTAGGTTTATTCTGATATTTTAGCTGCCAATGAAAGCAGCCAGAATTCCCATTTAGTCTGTTATTGGGGTTTTGTTTCATGTAATAATATCGAGCGACACAGGCCGGCCTGCAGGCCGTTATATGAGCGCTGGAACTGGCAGTCCTCATCCTTCACTGTTTGCTTTATGAGAAACATTTTTCCATAGAATGCTTGGAAGCTACAGCACACCGAGTTCATCAAACTGACAGGGCATATATTGGACTTCAGTTCAGTTAGGCTGTAACTCCAAGAAAAACAATATCCTTGTCTTTAATGTGTAAATCCTGGCCTGGACTCGTCTGGATTGTTCCTTGGAATGTGAATCTGTTTAAGTCATGCAAGCGTTTGAATTTGACGAAAACACCGACGGTTGTATTTAGCAGGAGCATGTCATGTTTATTTAACCGGCTCCTTCTCTGCCAAGTGTGACATCATAGTCTATGAAGTAAGGTTTGGATGCTCCCTCCCAACTATGGCCTCATATGCAGCATCGGCCCTTCTAAAATATATCCACCAAAATGGAGTTGTTTGGAAATATTTGTTTGACCATATGACATTTCTTTAGTACAATCTGCGCAGTCTCATTGATGAAATATGTGGTTTGTTAATGGATTTAAATAATAAATCACAAATACGAATGACTCCACGTCCATAAACCAACCGAGAGACCTTTGAAATCTAAAGTAGTGTCTTCTTCTCCTGGTTTTAGGCATGCAGGACTTCAACTACTTGTACACCAACTGTTTCGAGATCACCCTGGAGCTGAGCTGTGATAAGTTTCCTTCAGCGTCAGCACTGCCCAGGGAATGGCTGGGCAATCGAGAAGCACTGGTTTCGTACCTCGAACAGGTCAGCTTTTGCCCTCTATGGGATAAAAAAAAGACCTCGGTTTGAAGACAAATATCCTCCATCCAAAATTTTCATGGAGTGCTGATATATCGTACATCGATGCATGGCCGCTAGTAATGTTTATTGAGCCTCAAGGGACAGCTCAGACATCCATACCCCTTTTTTTCTGATTAAACAGACCAAACTAAAAAGGTCTGTCTGGTCTTGTTTGACTACATGCCTGTCGAATGCCAAAGGCTTATTAGTTCTAATTGTTTTAAAGTTGCATTGGAAATGAGTAATTAATAGTTAATGACCTGCTATAACAAATAATCAATTATGTATTTAAACACAAAATATGCGCTATATGTTCCCACATACCTACCACGTAATAACTTGTGTTTTCCAGGTGCATCATGGGATAAAAGGGATGGTGTATGATGAAAACAACAACCCAATAGGCAAGGCTGAAGTCTCGGTGGCCGGCGTGAACCACGATGTGACCACCGGTGAGAAAGGGGCTGCAGGGGTGTCAGTGAAACAGATGTGGATGTGTCACTGTGTAGTAGGATTGAAAAAGTGTGTAAGTGTGTGTGTGTGTGTGTGTGTGTGTGTGTGTGTGTGTGGTAGCTGATCTATGAATGGTTGCATTTTCATTTAACAGGTATAGGGACCAAAAGCTACACATTTCTCAGCGCATTCAGATGCATTTTTTGACAGTGAATTAAACTGCTTGATGGTATCTGAAAAAAACAAAAATTAGGCACACCTTATTTGACTGATTTAACTTTAACATGATGTTTACATGTTACAGCATCTGTATTAACTATCCAGTAGCATAGCTCCAGCACAGGAGTACTCCCTGAGCAGTGGAAAGGAAAGAAGCTTGGCTAAAATCTAATAAAAAGCATCATCACTCAGTGAAATCCATTAACACTCATTGAGCCCACAACAAAAATGAGCTCCTTGTCTTTACCCTCGGGACAACTTTCCATGTGAAGTCACGGCTTGTGTCTCCGCCCAGTGGAGGGATGCTGGTACTGCAGAGAGCGAGAACAAGTTAGGAGGTGTGGTTGATTGATTTCACCAAAGTAAAGACAAAAATAGTTTTTTTTTAATGTAATAAATACCCAATACCAGACACGTAAATGGCATTAAATGCATTTTATTGTTACTTGAAATCATTTAGAATAGCACAGCTGGTATCTAGATGGAAAATTTGATTTGCATGTTGGATTTCTGGGGGCATTCAGCTGCAATGTTGCTGGAAAGACACAAATCGACCGAATGGGACACAAGGAGAATTTAAAGATACAAAAAGATTACAAAGAGCTGCAAGGAAATGAAAAAATGACCATAAAGAGAGATAAAAAGGTCTGCAGAGAGACACAAAACAGTCCATGTGTCTCGCTCCTGTGGAGAAAGTGGGGCCTTTCTGTTGTCTCTATTGTCTCACAATCTGCCCATGTCGATACAAGACAATTATTTGGTAGGTGGAGGATCTGAATACTTAATCTAACGCGTGTGTAATTCAACGTTTGAAATTGACTGCGTTGCATTCGTTCCCATCTTGTGCGCTCCCGCAGGAGTCGACGGCGACTATTTCCGACTTCTGTTACCCGGCACCTACGCTGTGACAGCATCAGCCCCCGGTTACGCCGCCTCCACCAGCACCGTCACCGTGGGACCAGCGGAGGCCATACAGGTGTGTACAGACAGGACCTGTGTATGTGTGCGTGTGTGTGTGTGTGTGGGCATAACACATAGCACGTTTTATGTACAATTGTGTGTATGTTCTTGTATTATAGAAATGTCCTCCGTCTTGATCCCTCACATGTTTTTCGCAATCTCTTCCCGCTCAGCTTCATTTTTACTTGAAAAAGGCACCAAAACAAAACCTGAAGCCGGTGAAGCCGCACAACAGCAAGAGGAACCTCTCATCTCCCAAGTCCACTTTTAAACTCGGCCCCAGATGAGGCATGGACAATATGTGTGTATATACGTACACTGAAAATCCCACATTAAACACATTATGAAAAGGAAAATTTACCATTATATGTGTATGTAATTTTACCTTTGTAGACCTTGTATTTCAAAACTGTTGTGTCTTTGTTTGTTTTTGTGTCTGTATTAAGGACATGTTGGTGTATTTATGTAACAGTGTCGATTTGTATGAACACAGCTATCCTGTAATTGTAAAGGGCTTTTTCATTTTGATTCCTACAATTTGATGTAAATTGAAAGTGAAAATAAAATACTGTTTTTGCTGTAATTAAATGACCATTTTGTATATTCCATTTCTGCTCAATCATTTTCATATTAATTGTCTAAAGTACAGAATTATTCACTGCCTCACTATAATTACAACGACGCAAATAATAATATAATAAATACTCAATCCACCCTGAAACAGACATGAAGACTAAAGGAATTCGGACGAGAGATAGAAACAACTTAACAACCACACATATTTTTTTTCTCATGTATAAAATATTATCCTTTATATATCAATTCACACGTTTTCTTGCTGATCTTTGCAGTTGCTTTACCAAAAACAAACAGTAGATGTCCCTGATGCACAAAGCAGCGAGCCAAACACGGTTGCTCGGCAACCAGAAAAACAGTTCTACTTCAACTACTACTACTACTACTACTTTAACTAAGCAAACTTCTTCCTTGAATCCAGTTAACTGTTAATTACTCGGTCTGCTCACATCCTTGTGACTGAAGCAGAAACGCCTCGTTGATTAAGTCCTTGTTTTTTGGAAAATAGGGAAAAAGTAATAATTGTGATTCACCTTCCAAGTAAAGGTTTTCTATATCTTGCGGTTTCAAATGATGTTATTGGTGCAATTTTACATTTGTTCTTGATAAACATGTCTACTAAATAAATTGTCAAAGAAAAGGGCTTGTGCATCATTTCAAAACTAAACAATTCATTGTATTACTTAATCAAGGTTGAATCACTGTGCTACTAACTCATCGATAATGACACAACTATTAATCTTGAACTTCCGTTTCTGAGTACTGATTAATATAATGACTTAACTGACTTAATATAGATCAGTTCTTCTGACTCCCAAATCCCAAGATTTGTGTTTTTAAACATTACGCAGAGCCATTGTGAAACTAATGTGAGCGACCTGTGAGAAATCAAAAGGTCAGTCGCTTGGCATCAAACCCGCTGTCACGACCAAACTGAGTAATGATCACAAGTCATTCACTCGCTGACACATGAGCTTATAAATGAACACAAAAACCTCTATTTGCCGCCCACTCCGACCCCTTCGTCACAGCTAATGTTTCTCGGCGCAGACACAACAGGACTATTGTGCCACACGGCCAATGTGTTCTCTGCCTGCAGAGCATCACAGCGACCATCAACTAGCAGCAAATATTGAAAGACAACAACAGGCCGACGGGCTCTGAATGAAAGTGACCACTGTGAGAGGAGACAAAGCCGGTATTTCATACACGCTCAGTGATCTGGAGGATTCTCAGCAGCAGTATGTGTGTGTGGGTGTGTGTGTGTGTGTGTGTGTGTGTGAGGTCTCAATATTGTATTTGCATACGTGGCGTCAATGAAGCCCACTAGTGGTCCTGCGGTGCCAGAGAACTCCTACACGGTCTTATCGGAAGTTATAGAACAGGCTCTTTAAAAAAGGAATCATCCGGTGATGAATATTTAACTATTTTAAACAGAAATATCATTAAGTTGGTTGGTTGGTTAATTGAACAAACACTATATGCAAAGAAGCTTTATTGGAGCAATTTTGGAATGTGAAAATATATGTATATTTTTTGCCAGATTTTGACCATAAATGACAATATGTGGTTCAGTCTTATGATTAATGTAATGTGCATGTCCATGTGCACTGCAGAGAATGCAGGCAGATTATGTTTGAGGCCTGTTTTCATGTATCTTTCTATATTTTCTCTCCTGTGTCCTTTCTCTCCTTCCTTTTCCTCTTCCGTTCCAACACTTTAAGGCAAAAGCTTTCGACTGACTTTGTATCCTGCTATTGTTCTGCACATCACATATGGGGAAGCGGTCATTACTGCAGACGCAGCAAAAAAAAGAAACTGGAAGTAATGAATCATTCCAAAACACAACTCTGGCTGTGGTTGAGAAAATGTACAATCCTGCAATGCAAATGACTGTGATTATATCGCTCTAAAACAGTTTTAATTGTAAGATCATGCATTTTTAAACTATATGACACATTAAACGTATATATCCAGTAAATAATAAACATGTTCTTTAAATCCTCTTGAGAGCTGTCATTTATGAAAGTGTCTTCCAATGTTTTGAAGCCTAAATACCTAGTTTATATTTCTTTACATCAGATGGATGACAGTATTATGGATACAGGCTTTTATGAAAACAAATATGTTGTGAAATTAAGCATCCCCGTAGAAGCTTTAAGTCTTTGAAGTTGCTTTCACTAACATGTGGTATATTACACTTGAACACTTTTTCTAAAGTAGAGCTGAAAAGGTTAGTCTGCCAACGGAAAATGTATTTGTGAAAATATTAATAAAAATGATAATAGTTGATCAATGATTAAAGCAGCATTTTTATGTTACAGCTGGTGAAGGTGGATGTCATTTAAACTTTTTTTTTTTTAATTATAGTCTGACCAAAGCCTATCAAATACATTCAATGGAATTAAAAAGTAGAATAATTACGTATTTTTTAATTTAGCTTAACTTAATGTATCTGACAACAGGGGCCCCTTGTCTTGTCTTTTCAGTGAGGCATCAGTGAGGCCACCTATGGGTCTCTCTGGTAAAAGTGGGTGGCGTTGTTGTGCGTCGGCATGGAGCGCAAAGCGACCCGCCTGCGCCGCGCGCCCCGACCGTGTGATGACAGCTGATTCTACCGAGACGGACGGAGCCGCCGGGACGCACTCACGCTGTCAACGCGAGGCAATAAGAAAAAAACCAACGACTTTATTTCCGGGAACAATGACGCGTCGGGAGGTGTGAGCTGCTGCAGAGAAAGTTGAGTCGCGGAGGGGGGGAAAAAAGCGCCTCCGCCGACCCGCCGTCGGGCTGAAGAAGTTGGATTTCTCGTCTTGACTGCTGGATTTCCTCATTTTCCTCAGGACTCTTTTTTTTTTAGGTAAGCAACCACGCGACTTATTAATAAAACACTTACTCTGTGGGCCCATCGCGGTATACATAAGTATACATAGAGCTGCCTCATTTTAATACCACAGTAATGCGTTTCTACAGAGTAATAACGGTTTTAATGAATTACCATTGAGGCTAACTGACTAATGTCGTCATCTGAAAGGTGATGAGCACGCGCGCAGTCTGTCGGTCACCTGTGGCCGCTGCTGTCAGTTGTTCCCCCATGTGAGAGTCACACACACACACACGCACACACGCACGCGGATTGAGGGAATATTCTGGTCTCGTGCACAGTGATGTCCTGCACTGCTTTTGCTCCACTCGTCATTCTGTCCTGTTCATGTTTGTTGAATTCTGCTCTCCTGATAAGTTCTGTTCTATTATTTTTTCCTTTATGGTGATCCTACGTGTTCAATGTCGTCACGCCTGCTCTTTTCTGTTGTGCTCTATTCTACGGAATACATACATACATACCAGAACAGGATATATTTCAATACAGTGAAATATATCCTGTTCTGCTTCAGGTGTGTGCTGCGTTGCGTTAAGGATACGTAGAGCGTCTGTGGACCTGCGTGTTCGGACACGAGTCTGCAGGTCTTCTGTGGAGCTGACTCAAAGAGTCTGAAGCTAAATAATAATAACACTGTGTCACTTCAACTGAGTCCTCTATGCAGATGTTTCCCGAGACTCAATGCGCACAGTTAGAAGAGCTAGAGCCAAAAGGGGTGTTCTTCTCATTCTTTTTATGTAAATGATGTATATAATTATCGTCAAGCCCGTACATGCCCACGTGTTTGTTCTAACGTTACGCTATGCGCCTTCAGGGCAGCATTTACACACAGTTTCAGTCATGGAGCCTCGGCTGGTCTTCTAGACCCAAACCCCAAAACCGTGGTTTGTGTAAAAATGAAAATCAAAGAGTCCTTCTCCTTCTCCTGAGTCATAAATGACAAACCGCCTCAACCCCTTTTTTTCTTAACCACCATCAACCTCAGTCAAGGTTATATTCTTCTTGTCTGTTGTCCTGCTTGTTGTCCACCTGAACATCCTGAATTATTCAACACTTGTATCCTATATCCCTACTTGGCGAGAAAGAAACCCGAGTAGTTTGTGTTAGTCCGCATGTGTTACATGAAACGAACATTTTTGCAGTAACTCCCCAACGACTCCTTTTGAAACATGTCATTGTGTTTATTGTAACAGCAGCGCGGACGCTCACTGGCGCGTGATTATAATGGCATCAAAACCCACGCGCACTCTAAACAATGTGAAACTCCTTCACATGTCTCTCAAACATTGAACACGAACGTCGCTTGATTTGCATGTGAGAAGTTCGGACTAGTCAAGTGCCAGAATGGGCGCAGGCTTCAAAGAAACGTTCATCGGGCATCATGAGACGTTTCAGCACAGTGATTCAGTCATCAGTACGGTACTCACAACGGGAAATTGTTCACAGAGACAAAATACTTCTGCTTTTTTTGAGATTGAACTAAACCGACGGAGGCAATGCGCCGTTGAGACAGAGCGACGTCACGCCCTCAAGAAGACGGACAAAACAAGAAAAGCTCTTCCTCAAGGCTCAGTGTTCTCCAAGTACTGTCATGAGTAACATGTTACTGGGTAGATGATGCATTTGCCTCGATCGATATGAGAGGCCCATAAATAGCCTCCATCTCAGCTGATCAGGCTTTGTTTGGCCGCCATACATCCTGTATATTCTGCACCAATCATAAAGACTCTTGTGAGGGACTTAAAGCTACACCTCCTTCTACACATTTAGTTAAATTGTTCTAATATTTTAGCTCTTTGTGGACAGCTGTTATGATACTAATTCTGCGGACCACTGAGACTTCTGTACTACCCTTTATTCCCTTATTTTTAACATGTACAATTCTTTCTACAATCATGATTTGATTGTTTCTCATGTGAACATTTTAAGACTGATGGAACCGGCACGGCAGTGTTTTGGGCTGAATTCATTGAGAGCTGGTTTAAGTCCTCCGCGTAAACTATTCCAGGCAGGTTTCTAGTGAGCTTTCCAAAAGGTTTATCCTCATAACGCAGCCTGAGTTCTGCCATCTTGGCAGTGTGTTTTCCATGCCCTCAATTCACACTCTGTTGTTTATCTGGAAAATGTGAGAATTTTGAGTTTGGATGGATTTTCTTACAGAGAGAAACATTCATTTCGCCCTGGGTGAGTCGATGCTTCTGCAGTCATGTCATCAGGGAGGGATCAGTCCAGCAACAGCTCATGTGCAAACTATTATGGCTCAGCCATGTTTTAGAGGAGCGGCGTACATCCTCGGGTACCCCCAGGGTTCTTCGAGGGAAAACCCTCCAAACGGATCCCTGTAACCATGACAACGCGCTCTCCGCCCTCTGAGCTCTGTCGTCCTCGCTGTGGAAATGTTTATGCAAAAAAAAGGTTCCACCCGGTGTTTGTATACGTGTGAGTAACTTTAATGTTCGACACCCCCGCGTTAAAAGTTAAAGGGAAATAGGTCCATTCCCCTGAGGGATGGCCGGTCCGCTCAGCCGAAATGCAGATATTTGGAGTAAAGGAAAATGCTGAGACAAAAGAGTTATAGCTTTGGATGAGCCAGAAAGAGGGCTTCCAAGCCTTTCCCAAGTGCCCACGCAGCATTTTCCCCTCATGTATCAGCATTAACACAGCGTGCAATTCCCTCTGTAAGAAAGTTCGACATCAGGAGAAGTATTATACAACACTAAATAAGGCATCGAGCAGACAACACAGCAATACATTTAGCTATTTCTAAAACAAGATGAATGAGACACTGCCATGACTTGGCCCTATCCTTATTTTATTGTGGTGTTGTAACACCCTGCTAGTGTGTCAGATGATACGCATGTTCAAACTTGATGCAATATGAGGTCATTTGGGAGTTTTAAGGGGCAATGGGGGGCTGATTTAGTTATTAACTAGTTTGTTTGTCAACGCTTATGTTTGGTATTAAAACTAGAGCCAGAATAACTGATTTTTTTACAATTGATTTATTGGGCTCGGGGGCACCGTGCTCACGGAGCTAACGGTGTTTACCCGGGTGGGGACCAGAGGTGGGGGACGGGCGGGGGGGACGCTCCACTTCCCCCATATGTTGGCAAATTTCCCCCTAACCACAGAAACTCTGTCTGTTTGGGTTTCATTAAATGAAAGCAACAGCCCTTCCACTCGCTTTATGTAAACCACTTAAATGGATGGCGGCCTTGTGACAAAAAAAGGTCGTTTGGTCGTTTGTATTGAAATGCAGAGGTGGCGTTTGAAAGTACTGTCGGTCTGCGTGCTCCTTCATCTCACTCGCATGTGTTTACGCTTTGAATGTTTCAGAGGACCGGGGCGTCTTCGTCAGACATTTCAACAGTTTGGCATCTTCAGGCCTTTGACTCTGCCTGCCAGATGTGTTCTTTTCATGCAGCTGGCTGCGGCCACGTAGTGCTACCTCATCTGGTCGAAATGCACTCCAGAGCCCGTCTGCTCTCTCTGCTGTCCCTCCCTTTGCTTGTTGTTTATTTTAGAACAATAACTAGGGCACAAGGCAGAAACATACATCCACTTGCAACTATTTGGTATGCAATAAATAATCACACTTGTCATAGTAAACTGAATATTTAGTTATTAGTTATTTAGAATATTTAGCTCTTATATTTAAGAGTGTTTGTAAAACAAAATGAACAAGCAAAGACATTTTATCGACCTGACCAGACCACCGAGGACGAGAATGCCCTCAGCTAAATCATTTAATATGGCTTCAAGGTGGCTTGTAAGGTTATTTAATTATTAAACAGTCAAAGAGAATAACTTGTAATAATTGCAATAGCCTTAAAAGCCGTACATCCAAATGTACTTATGTGACAGGGAGTGTGAGCCACTAACTTTTAAAACAGATGGTGAGACAACTACGTGACCTGTGTTGACAACTGTCAGCCACATAGAGCCCCCCCCCCCCTCCATACTCCCCATCACATGTGCTGAAAGAGTAGACGGTCAACAGAAAGGCAACAGATGTCCCTTCAGTTTTTAATGTCCAGATCCGTCCACTGGCTGGTGTTGTTGTTTTGGGTTGAATGCGTTTCAGTGGGCTCAGCACTCTGGATGGGAGGACTACGCTTCTGCACAGTAAACAATTAGCATCAAAAGACACCAGGTGTCATGCAGGCCTCTCCAGAGGCTTCCACCCGCCTCTCTGTCTGTGTGTCTGTGGGATGACATCCACGTGCCAGTCTGCCACCGCAGTGTATCTGAAAAGGTTGAATGGCGCATTGCCGGCGCGTGGATGTGAGCCTCGTCCTGGCAGGCGGACAGATAACGAGGCGGCGGCTTCATTGTTTCCATCAGTTGAGCCGGTTCAGGGAACGGTCCAGTCAGCAGGTCCCACTTCCTCCACTCCAGTTGTGATCCTGGTTCATCTAACGCTCGGTTACGTTGCCCAGGCGCAGGTAGTTTAGTGAAGGGCGGTGATGCGTGATTGTGTGTATATATGTACTGTGTGTGTGTGTTTGACTTGGAGGTCTGTCGTAATCCTGTTACTTTCTCCAGGAAGATGCCAAGTGGCACACACTGTCCCATTCACCCTCTCTGCTTAAAAAAAGCACTCTGTGTTGCTGTGTCATGTCAGCAGCGTTGTTGAAGTGGGAGAAGACTTCGTTTTAATTTCTACCAGACCATTTAAACAATAAGGGAGCTGTCTAACGTCTCTGTACTGTTTAAATCCTTTCCCGTTGTCGGGGCAGAGTCCCACTGCTTATCAAGATCTCATGAATCCCACTAGAAGAGACACACCTGTTTGAGCCGGACAATGAGGTCTTGTCTCAGCGTGTGAAATGCCCCTTGTACTTTCTTGCCGTGTTGGATCATTTCTCCCTTGACGGACCGAGGACAGTTGTCTAATCCAGTGCGCTGGTGACGATGCACTGTATATTATACGCAGTAGTGCGTTAGTCTGGATCAGGGGTTTATGAAGAATTGTTATTCTGGGGCTCCAGGGCTCCAGCCTTCTTAATTTGGGCTGTGACAACACATTTTAAGTACCTGCCGATAGCCCCCGAAATGGGCTAAGAGACGGATTGTCTGTGAAGCTGACTTGACCTGAGTGATGCAACACCGCAAACAGCTACCGACGACACCCACCTGTCACTTTCCACGTCCCTTAGCCAGGCTAAATGCTAAAAGCAGTGTTCAAACACTCACTATTTAGAAAACTGAATCTGCTTTTTGCAATCAATGCGATTCCAATTCAGTTTATTTATGGAAAGATGCAGGGGATAGAAAAAACCTGAAGGTTCGGGTATGTTGATTTTTTTTGTTTGTTTATTGTGCCATAAACTCTACGGATGCGGCTGTGTGCTATTGAGCTACAGTAAAGATCATTATCACTCATTGTTCATACAGACAATCCCTCAAAGCGTGTGTGCCTGCCAGGAAGTGTTAAATCTGCTGTGGTGTACGAGGGAGAGGTGTTATTATTATTATTAGCTACTATTTGTTGTGAAGAAATGCAGAAATATGAGTTTATGAGTCAGTATTATGTTCTTCATCCTGAGAAAGGACATTAAGAATTATTTTATTTTAAAGATGTCTCTTCATACATTATATTGACATGTAATGAATGCATGGGCCGCCCTCCTGTGCTCATGGCCTGCACCTCTACTTGCACACGTCCATCTGCCTTGCATTAGTTACTGCATCGTCTCGGGTTTCACTCTGGCTTTAACACCACGTGGTGTTGAGTTCACACTCTACTTCCCTGAACTGTGAGCACTTAGTGCTTAACCTTTACTGAGAAACCTACACACACACACACACGTACACACATACATTATCAAATCTTTTCCGTTAACGCTGGTCATCTGCCCCCTCTAGCTAACCCTACTGCCACATGAAGCAAACCCTGCACCGGGTCTCTCCCCAGAGACAGGGACACTGAACTAGACTAGAGTCCTGTCCCCCCCTCCCCTCGGCGCCAACGACCAACTGAACAGAGGCTCCATTGACTGTGGTCAAACTGCAGCCCTCTTCTCCCGTTTCCCGTCTCTTTCAGCGTGTCCATCCCCACCTGTGGTCAAGCCGTCTCCACATAATGATACACGAGGGCCGGTAGAATACTTATTACATGCAGCTTTTGTGTCGCCTTGCATATGTTTTGCTGCGATTATAATCCATTCATTGTATTGCAAGAGACACATTTTAGAGTTCCTTGATTTCAAGATCAGCAACCGACTGGATGCAATTTATTCAGGTGACACATTCATGCAGTTTAACCAACTAGTTGGTGAGGAAAATAAGATAACATAACATTATAGCATTTCTAGAGTCACTGAGATAATACAGAGTTGAGACAGGAGGACAGATGAGGAATGTCCTTCAGGCTTCTCAATTACAGCTTTCTCTCTGTCTCTTTGGTCTCCTTCTTATTGCAGGTTTCTCACGTCCTCAATCCCCCTTTCATTTGCGGTGGTTTCACAAAAGCTCTCCGTGAGGCTTTTGTTGATTTGTAAGGAGAGGATTTTGAACAGCACCCTTGTCCTTCTGAATCTGGTTTTTAATCGTCTAACTTGTTTTACCCGTCTCCATGATTTCATGCATTTAATACGTCACAGCGTTAATATAATCTCTTGATCTGTTGCTTGGCCCGACAGGTTATGAGTGATGGAAGCAGGATCGGTGGTGCGTGCAGTTTTTGAGTTTCTGCCAAGCGTCTCCGAGGAGCTGCCACTCTTCACCGGCGACGTCATCGAGGTGCTCAGTGTCGTGGACGAGTTTTGGTTGCTCGGCAACAAAGATGGCATCACAGGTAAATTGTTAGGGATTATTAGCACTGCTAATCCACCTTTATGGTTCCACATCTCTATTAAGGAGTTGCACTTTGTTTTCCAGAAATAGATTTTGCCTAAAATTTTTCCCCAAAAACATCAGTTTTTCATTTGTATTAGTACAGCAACGCTTTCACTTCCTCTTTGAGTTTTGTAATGCATGTTGAGAACGATGAATGAAAACTACTCTGTAAAGCGAGGAACTAGGTATTCTTTCATAAAGTCAGAAATAGCTTTTCCCACATTAAATAGTTTGTCAGTTATGTACTTGAGTTTTAATGGTACAATTTGAAGAGGAAACGCAATGCATTCTGGGTAGGACAAGTGTGTGAATCATTGCTTCCTGGCTGTTTCTGCTCCTGGTTTTCCAAGAGTCACTTAAAATGAGGGAGGGGAATCCCTTGGAGGAGTATTTGTGTATGGAAAACACAGATGATATTAATAATACATTCATGGCGGGACTTCCCTGGACCGAAGGCAACTGGAAACTAAAGAAGAACAATTTAGAACCTGTTACTACTTTTGACTTGGAGTCGTTCTGCTGATATGGAGAATTGCAACACAAAACAACCACCTGATTTTGTCCCTGTACTTCGGATCTACAAACTAGGAAATTAGGATTAAGACAATACATCCAGAAAACAATGTATTTATCTGTTAGATCACACGTCTGTATTCGGTGTGGCCATTGCCTCGAGGAAAACAAAGGTTTTCACTGTGTTCATCCCTCTGTGTCCTGTCTTCAGGTCAGTTTCCCAGCACCTTTGTGGAGGAGGTTACCATCCCCAGCATCAAGCCCGGAGAGACACTCTTTGTGTGCACCAATGATTTCAGCTCAGCAGAGCCGGGCAACTTGTCCCTGAAGAGAGGTACCGACATCCTGCACGCGCACAGTCAGGACTGTTTGAAAATAAAAATACCTTTTTTATTGGAGCACTTACAGGCTTTTTTATCTGTTGATTATTTTGCACCGTCTCCACCTCTTTGATCAGAGTTGTGATTAAAGGTTTGGGTGGGCCGCAAAATTTTCAGATTTCAAATTGGGCCGCGGCATTCTTGAGTTTGGGAACCGCTGCTGTATGCAACAAAGCAGTGTTCTATATACTTTTTCTGTTAACTCTAACGGCTCATGTTTTCTCACAAAGCTTAACGCTACTTGTTGATGTCGGTCTGCTCAGGTAAATTGCTTTGTTTTTGTGTTGTAGTTTAGTTGTGTTGGACACTGTGAGCTTGTCTCCACTGACACAAACTGGGACCCACACACTCTTAACGTAAAAAGATATAAAAATCAAACAAAGATGTTGCGCTAATAACTGCACAGCACAGTTGATGATACTTAAAACTTCTTCTTCTTCTACTTCTTTATACAAATTATGCCCCGATTGAAGTGATCACATCAAATAGAGAAGGTACGCTGGTTTTCCTATAATCCCAGTTTATTCAACTATCTGTACTAATAACATTGTCAAAGTGTTTTTGCATAAAAAATACTCTAAATGACACCTAGAAATTAATTAGCAAAGGAATATACTTGTGATATCAGTCTGTCTCGTGGAGCTTTCCTTCCAAAATAAAGAAAGAAAGGAAAGTCCCTCTGCATTCGGAGAGAATTATAAGAGAAGTTAGAACTAATGCTCGTATCTATTAGTTTGCATGGGATTTTGTTTTATTTGGTTTCTGTTTAGTTAAAGACCATTAAGATTACATTGGTTAGTCATTTTCTTTCTATTTTCCTTTTTGGGAATTCATTTTTTCAGTGTCACCAGTTACAGTTATACTTGTTTGAGAAATGGAGCAACTCAGATAACAGAAGAGATGCAAAAGGCTGTCGCGCTGTTTGCAGGAATAAGAATAGATAAGTCTGATAAGAATAAGTTCCCCGTGACAACCTCCTACATCTATTTGAGCCTGCTGCTGTTCAAACAACCTACAGCCTTTAAAACTTTTTCTACTAAAATTTCCTTTTCAGGTTCTCTTGGGCAACAAACCAGCCTCTTTGGTGGTTGAGCAGATGAAATATAATGAAAATCTTGGTGGATTTCCCATTATAATGACACCAAATAGTACTGACTCAAAAAATACAAAACACAGAAGGTGTCTTTCTAAAACTCGCCACTAGATGTCCCCAAATACAAAGATAAAACCTAGTAAACTTCTAGGTTCTTCTTTTCTCTTTTTACATTTCTGAATTCTCCCCTAAGATTACGTTGATGTTCTTTCTGATTGTTTTCAACAAAAACCTTCTGTGTTGTTTGCACAGTTCCTTTACATTGGTAACATTTGTCTTTGATTTTCTTGTATTGTCTTTAAAAGTTCTATTGGTAGGTGTAAGTTGCAGTGTTAGGAATTAAATTGTTCATTAAAAGCATGTTTTACTGTCCTATTATCATACTTTCAGATTTTGTTTTAGTTTAACCTGTGAACAAATTAACTCAATAACAAAAGTCTAGTGCATTTTTGTTCTCTCATAATAACACATCCTGGATCACAGGAAACGTAGGAAACAGTTTTCACTGGAAATGGGGGAGTTTAAATGTTCATTTCCAGCACGTTTTTCCAAAGTCCCTATTGGCTGTTTTCCAGTTTTGGTCCCAGACACAATAGGAGGTGGAGCTACAGGTCTTTGGAATGTGACCCCCATGACCGGTCAACATTCCTATAATCCCTCAATCTCAAGATATATTAGCAGTTATTAAGAATGCATTAATAAAGGTAATCTGACGTAACTAAAGCTACCCGAGAGCAGCAATTTTTTTAATACACTACATTCCAGTTAGTTCTACCTTTCTCTCCAGTCTGGTTAGATAAAGCATTTATCTCCAGCTGTGCAAAGTGGCCACCCCGCAAGTAGCACCCATAACCTTGTTCTTTCTATATATCGAGTAGTTGGCAGCTAAGAGAATCAGAGGGATAAAACAACACAAACATGCATATTAGAGCGGCACAGAGAGCGTCTGCTCTCCTTAATGTCCTCATGCTCCACCGCTTTGTCTGGCAGTGCTCACTACCCCCGCTCTTGTCTCTTGTTTTGCTAAAATGTAATCTATTTAGACTGATAACACTCGAGAATAACCTGGTTGAGCATAACTTTAGCTCTAGCTCCCTTTTAACTGATTCTCATCAGTACATCTAAATGCCGAATTTGATCCCCTTTGTTCTCTGTCTCTGTAGGCGATGTGATAGTTGGAGAGGCCGGAGGGCCCGCGGAACTCGGGGAATCCTGGCAGCGAGGTTGTAATGCCTGGGGCATCCGAGGTCTCTTCCCCACATCATGTGTGACGGAGCTGACCCTCTCGGGGCGCTCCAGGCAGCTGTCCGAGCGCTCGGCTCAGGCCCAGGCCTCGGAGCTCCCACCGTACGCCCTGGGCCAGGCCCGGGCCCTCATGAGCCTCCACGCGCAGCTCAATGAGGAGCTGGACTTCCGCGAAGGGGACCTGATCATCATCACCGGCCGGCCCGAGCCGGGCTGGTTCCAAGGGGAGCTGGATGGCCGCAGGGGCATCTTCCCGGAGGGCTTTGTTGAGCTCCAGGGATCCCTCCGATCTCCTCAGGACTGCCAGTATTTGACCAATGATACTGAAAAATTTAGCTTTGAGGACCCTTACGATGCAGAAGAGGGGGAAGAGGAGGAGGGTGTGGAAGCAGTAGAGGATATCGGTCGGGACAAAGAAGAACAGAAGGAGGTAGTAGAAGAAGAGGAGGAGGACGAGGACGAGGAGGGTGGTGTCTACGTCCTTGCTCTTTATGAGTTTCGGGCCATTGAACCAGGCGAGTTGGACTTTGACATGGGGGATCGCATACGGCTTTTAAGGACTTTGGAGGACGGTTGGCTGGAGGGAGAGCTGCGAGGGCAACGGGGTATCTTTCCTCATCGTTTTGTCAAAATCGAGGACGACGGGCAGAAAGCTGCTGAAGAAACAGATGTTGTTGAACCAGAAGAAGACAAGGAGAACAGCTGTACTTCTGAATACAGGTTGGGTCGTTCATGTCCCAATGGGTCCCAGAACGATCCTAAATGGAGGACATACGAGGATCATACCGTGTGGGACCTGGACTACTTTGAGCGGACAGAGGAGCAGAGGTGGCAAAGTGAAAACAAAAGAACCGGAGCTCAAATTGACGCAGGCGAGAGGCCCGACCCTCAGCCACGTAGACCCGTCGCACCTGCACAGAAAGGGCCTGAAAGACCCAAATCCACACCTCCTGCCCGGCCCAAACTCCCCGCTCGGCCTAGCCCGCCTGCGGGCACCCACGGGCGCCAGGGCCCTTCATCCGGCACAAATCGTTCCAGCCAAACAAACGGTAACACGCAGTCCTCACAGCCCAAATCCCCTCACGGCCTCGGCCTCCCCGGCTCTCAGCCCGGCTGGTCCGCAAACTCAAGACACCACCAAAGGCCACGAAAGGACGGCGCCGCCGCCATTAACGGGAGCAGCGGACTCAGCCAGGCGTTACTGAACCTTGTGGAGGGACATAGGCAGAAGAAACTAACTCGCCACGCCAGCGCCGGTGATGCTGATCAGATGATGGGCGGCGCTGAGGCGCGGCAACGCTCCCGGCAGACGTCCAGTGGCTCCAATGGTCTGATGCCAGCATCCGTCACTTTAGACGCCCTGGCAGCCTCAGCGGGTGACCTGGAGACCAAGCTGTCCCAGCAGCTCTTTGAGTTTGAGAAAAGCCTGACCTCTTCGGTAGGTGATGCTCCCAGGGACGTGTCTTCCGTCGGCGACCTGAGCCAGCGTCCCCGTTTGCCGCGCCGCTACTCTATTATGGACTACAGCGACGAAAGCGACATCATGCGAGGCTCCGCGCACTCGCCGGTGTCCCAGCTGCTGCAGTCGAACTCCGCCTCGTCCTCGCTAGAGAGGCGCAGGACCCTTCGTCCTCCGCCCCCTCGCCCCAGAGTCCCTCGCGCCTCCGCCCCGCCTGCGTACAAGCCGTCTCGCCTTGCTCCGCGAGCCCCTCCCCGCTGCCCGAGACAAAACGCCGCTCCGCCGACCGTCTACACCCGCGACGAGCCGGCTTTAAACCTCCTCAACCAAGAAGGGAGGCCCGAGTTTGGCGACCTCGCGGCCGCCCAGGAGCGCGAAATACAGCGTCAGCTGGAGGCCGAGAGAGAGCTCGAGAGAGAGATGGAGTTGGAGGGTCAGAGACGGGAGGAAGAGGAGGAGAGGTACCAGCTGCTGCTGCGGCTGCAAGAGGTGGAGCACGACATGGAGGCCTACGCGCACACAGCGGAGGAACTCAGAAACATGTTGGAGGAGGAGGAGGACGAGACAGCCCGCATGCAGGCCATGGAGAATCTGGAGTTCTGCAACTACACGCTGGAGACGCTGGCCCTGGAGCAGCATCAACTACAAGGTAAGACTGTTTGAGTAATGAAGTGGATTTAATGTCTTTGGACTGTTGGTCCGAACAAACCAGACATCATTTTTGAGAACTTGTCCTGATAATACATTTTTATCTGCTAAAATGTACCATCAGTGGGCTCAAACTACCACAAAAGGAATGAAAACAATCATTTTAGACCACGATCACCCGTCTTAATGTTTTTTCTTTTGGAAGTCCATGGCTCAAAGAGTGAGCTGGAAACATTGCAAAAGAGAAGACACATAAAGTACAATTGGTTTTGCCTGATGTCACAGTTCACGTATGAGGCCCTGTTGCCTGCAGGTCCTTCAAAAACTTAATATTCAGCAACTGAAGACAAAATGCAATATAGCAGGAATCTAGAAATGATCCAATAGTGCTCACCAGATTTGCTTTTTCCTTGTTATGACACACACACACACACACACACACACTATTTATTTGAATTCTGGTTTAAACTATGCAAACAAGACATCCCTGTTTACTGTCCTCAATCATCAGCGGAAGATCGATTGTGTATGTAAATGATGATGGTTATCATAACTGTGTGCAAGTTGTGTGCCGTGTGTGTGTGCTTGTGCATATCAATTGAAGAGTTTCCTTGGTCTCACTACAATGCTAAATTAAAAAACTATATTGAATGTGGCAGAATCAGCGTGTAGCTGCAGGGTTCAGGTGAAGTAACAGGAAATGGTGAATTTGAAGAAAGCTTTGCACTTCTGCTCGTTCTCATGAATCAATAGTCAACGGCTTACAATCGGCGTAGCAACAAAGCTAATCAACTGACGGTGTGCTCAGTTCACTTCTCCACATAGGTACGAGGTGCATTCCTGCGCATAGTGAGAAGGGAGCTGGGCCTCTTTCTCCCATTTCCTCTATCCGAATGTCCTCCTTCACTTGTATCCCGGTTTCCTCACGGTGCACCTTCTCCTCTAGCGTCTGTCCCTCACAAGGCGAGAGGAGAAGGATTACGTTGCAGGCGTATTTTGGCGATTTTTTGGGCGGTGGTGGAGACAGAGGATGGCCCGATCCAGAGGGTGGTAAAAGATTTCCAACGAACTTTTCCTGTAATGCATTACAGAATTTTCTCATTTATTCTTCTGTTTTTGTTATGTTGTGTCTTCATATTACTTGCATCAACGCTGAATGGTGCTTAACGATTGGAAATCACATTCTGATCACAGTCACAGTGGAGGTCGTGGAGAGAAGAATAATCCAATCGCGTCCTGTTTGATTGTATCAGTCACTCTCCGGTGCTATCAATAGATTTATAGATGTATTGCTGTCAGTGACAGGCATCCACCTGAGGGCAGGGAACTCATCCCATTGCCTCTCGGGGTCGTGCAGCCACATTTGTTATTTATTTATTTATCACACAACCGGAATTCTCACACCCTCCGTTCACAGTCACAAAATTATTGTATTATTCAATTGAATATATATGTTTGCCCCACTGTTAAATGTGCAAGTGGACTGAAGATAGTTATTGGAGCCGGGCAGAGTCCCATTGCTAAATATTTGGTACGGTAATCATCGACACGTTAGGATCTTTGTTGCAAAAAAATGTGTCATCCTGCTGCTACGTATCAACGCACACCCACACAGACACACACACACGCACACACACTTAGCCAGGAGTGAGTGTCCGTGCCTTTGCAGGGTGTGTTCATGAGTGTGACTTTTGGAAGACAATGGCAGCTTATTGTTACAAGGCAGGGAGCCATTTCGACATTGAGGTCTGCCTGCGCCTCACCGTGCTGAGGCCGGTTCAAAGTCCTCATAGAAGCTGAAAGAGGTGTAATGCTTGAGCGAAACAGAAAGTCAAAGATATGCTGCTTCATAGCCTTTCAGAATAATAGATTGTCTGGGTGAGGTTTATGAGGATTGGACTAGTATAGCGGAGTACGGGTATCGATTTACAAATATGGAAAATGTACGCAGAATGACAGACGGAACAATTGATTTGGTGTTTTACTGGATTCTCGTCTGATATCTGACCTTTTTCCTGGACCACATGGATCACATTGCTTTTTCCTAGAAGTGTCGCACGTCTATCAAGCCCATGACTGTTTCATTTACATAAGCTAGCGCCGCCACCGATAGGAATGTTATATTTGACATTCTCACAGTTGACACATAAACACAGTTTCCGGTCTTGTTCTGCTGCTGAAAGCTGAGATGTTAAACACTGACAATAAAACAGCATTAGGTGAAAAAAGGACGATGTCATGTAAGGTTTTCTATGCTCAGCCTTAGCTGGTGAAACTGTGCATTGCAAATATAAAGGTGGCTTTATTTCTTGGCTTGGATCAAAATATTTTGTTCTTGATGAATGATATTCTTTAAGTTTAATCGCCACTTTTTATCAAATTTTTCGTTTTATCAGATTTATCAAAGCTCTGCTGACTTGACACAATCTTGTGTGTCTGTGTGTATCACATGCTTTTCAGGGTATAAAGTCCTTTAAACCTGTCCCTTTTAGTGCCTCCCTTTTTCTTGGAGAGTTAAGAGGGGGAGGGTTATATTATACACCAGCTTTATGAATAGCCCAGAGTTTTTTTCTCACTAAAAGATCGTGTCTCCCCAGAGAGTGAGGACAGTCCCCAACAAAAGCTCATTGTACACACCAGCAGCTATTTTCTTTTGAAAGCTTCTCTGGGTTAGATTGTGTTCTCCAAAAAAAAAGTTCCCTCTCCACTTTCATTTTCATTATACATAATAGACATAGGTATGCAGATCTTTCACATTCTTCCAAAATATAACTTGTTCCAAACTAAAGCATGTGTATGTCTTCATCTGTCCACGTTGGCTCCTCTCTGATATGTAGGGTAAAGTTAAACCGACAGACTGACCTGTTTGGGTTCACACAGAAATAATCCCCATGTTGGAAGTTAGAGCTGGTTGTAAACACAGAAAAGTAGCTTCTGTAGTAGCTGTTATCACCGGGTGCTTGTCACAGGCTTAATGACCTGGTGAACATAGCACAGGAAATAGCTAAAGCAAAGTAAACAGGATACAAGGAAGAATGGAGGATTGTTACTAGTAGTGGAGGAAAGAAAAAGTCTGTGGCCCCTTAAGGCATTCTGTGAAGTTAGTTTTCATCTTCCTTCAGAGAAAATCCACTGGCAGATTGTTTTCCTCCAGACACACGCAGCAGCCAATTGAAACTATGGGAGGGGCCGTTAGGCTTATCCTTCACTCATGTGACTCCACTGAATCATTAACCCAAGGAGGCGCTTCCTTCAGCAACCTTACCCGCATCTCCTCCCGTGATTCGCTGAGATAGCGGCAGGGAGGGTACGATCTGGTTACTCCGAGGGCTGGGAGGCGCTCGGGCCAGGCAGTCATGCAGAGGCAGTGGAGAGGAGCCGGAGAGAACAAGCGGGAGAGTCACAGACAATGTGCCTGACAGGTGGAGTCCCCCACAGCGCTTTGTTATGGAATGCAGGACTTTGGAAAGAAGGACGACGCCGCGTTGAACGGGAAAGCCGGCTCAGACGGCAGGAGCCATGAAGAGCCCGGTGGTTTACGGCAACCCGATCATGTTTGGTCCGGTGGATTGGAACTATGCAGCCGGTGCCCCGGTAAGGAGAGGGAAGAGTGTGGACGACCTGGGCGATGCTGGCTGGGCCAGGGAGAGAGAGAGGATAGCCCACCTGCAGCATATTCAACAACTACACCAACTTCAGCAGCAACAGGTCGGATATCCCGCATATGGAGTTGCTCCTCACGGACAGCCACACGGGCATGTCATGGTGCCAAGTCCTTGCGACCCAGTTCCAGCTCCAGGCTCCCCCATGCCAGTACATGGCGGCATGATGGTGCCCATGGGTGCGCCGGGACCACCTCCAGGGCATGTACCGGCTCTGTGGCCGGCACAATGGGAGACCCAAGCCCAAATTAGACAGGGCAATGTCTGCCAGCAACCCAATCGAGGGTACGGCGACCCGCACGCGGCAGCTTTCCAAGAGAAGAGGACCCAGGGCCGGGACGTTTACTTCCACCCTGGTTCAGAGGACGGGCACCTTAATGTGAGGATATCTGAATGGAAAGGGGGAAATTGCTTTTACCAGGGCCCCGAGGATTACAGCCCCCAGGAGTACAGCAGAGTGCCACAGGAAAAAGCCAACGATGACTTAAGAACTCGAGAAGGGTTTGGTGCACTGGACGAGGACAGAAGAAGAAGGGGAAATGAACGTTATGAACCCAGGAGTCATAGAGACTTGGAGGAGTATGATCGCGAGGACAAATACAGCCCCAGGGGTCATTATGACGGGAAATACAACGAGCGCTGTGACGACAGAGATCAGCGATATTACGACAGCAGGAGACGCCGTGAACATGATCCCAGACAACGCGACAGTGAGTATGAAGACTCCTACGACCGTAAAGACTCCTACGCTCGCAAAGACAATTACAGGGACAGGGACCACTACGATAGGGATTATTATGATTCTAAAGAGAGTGATCACTACAGACACTACCAGCGTAGGGAAGAGGACCGCTACTATGATGAGCAAAAACGTAAGGACCGTTACTTTGACCGGCAAGAAGAGGACCGATATGACCGCAGAGAGAGTAACTACAGAGACGAAGACGACTATAATCGAAGAGGCGGGGAAACTTATACCAGTCAAGGAAGGGGCCCCTATGATTCTGAAGTGGACGATCACCGTGGTTACAGGGAGAGGTGCAGGAATCCAGGGGATGACATGAGAGATGAGCACAGAAGGAGAGACCACTACAGAGCACGGGAGCACTATGAGGGCAGGACCGTGGACGACTACGAGCGTGAGAATGAAGACCGCTACGTGGCCAGAGACCGCTATCGGGATCTGCGCTCAACGTCGGTCGATTCGCCATACGAGGATTACCCCAAAAAGGACAGCAAGACACACATAGAGCAGTGGGTCGAGCAGCAGAACCAGAAGTTGGCGCTCAGGCAAATGCACTCTTTTGAGGATCCCGTCACATACCGGCACAGCGACGAC